ATTATTAGTTATGGTGAGTGATGTTTTGATTGGAATGTATTTCTTATATAAAGTATATTATATAGAACATGGTTACATATATGCATATATTGTAACAAGTAACAATTTTAATCAAGGTATATTAGAAGGTACACGATAGCTCAATTTTTATTTCCATATTTTCGAATTTTAATTCATGATATATGCATTTCATTTATAGTAAGTTTAGACATAATATTAGATCACCACTGGGAACATTAATTTTGACGAATAAATGTATGTGTTTATTCAACACAGTAAGTACCATAACATAATTCGGACCGAAAATATACGTTCTTTTTGGGTCAATTATTGTCACCTTTAATTTTTAACAAGCAAGGGATGACCTTAATAACGACCTTCCAAATTATTTTTCTAATTCAGGGACGTACTTTATCGCGCTGAAAATTTATATTGGCAACCTTAACCCAGTGCGATGAAGGTTACTGATAAGAGATAAGATATTGATTGAATTATACTGATAAGATTCGGTTCCGAAGAAAGTATGGGCTATCTGAATAAATATTTAAATTGGATAAAATATATCGGCAAGCATAGTCCGAGTTGATATCGTCATACTACTTACGTAACGTTTACCGTTTCACATTCCGTAACTTCCATCAATCCCTACTAATATTATAAATGCGAAAGTAACTTTGTCTGTCTGTTACGCTTTCACGCCTAAACCACTGAACTGATTTTAATGAAATTTGCTACAGACATAGAGTTGACCTTGAGAAAGAACATAGGATAGTTTTTATCCCAGACTTTTGAAAGGTTCTCTTGGAAACGCGATATAACCGAACTCCACTCGGGCGAAGCTGCGGGTGGAAAGCTAGTACTGTAATATGCAGTGATTTCTGAATGAAAAACTGTTAACGCTTCGTACGTAGTGACGATGCCAACTCGTACTAAGCATACAGTGATGGTCAGTTTTATCAGATCGTTGTTAGATAATGTTTTGAGTTAGGTCAATTGATATATTTTTGCAAAAATCTTTACCACTGAAAAGTGTGACACAATTATTCATATATGTATTTTTATTTTAATAACGAAGTGAAATTTTATACTAAGGTATGTTTACATGAAGAAAATATAAGTAAAAACTTACTTTTCTTTTTTGACAATTCGTGACATGTTCAAAAAGCAAAAACATCGTATTGGTACGAAAATTGTAATTGATAAATCGTCAAAGGAGATGTATTTTAATACATTTTTAACACATTCCTAAAGTGGACAGCGCAATAATTGGTGGTATATAAAATTATGGATGAAAAGTAAAAAATATGGTATTATTATATTATAAAGTAAATAGTAAAAGTAATTATTCGTTTTATCTTTTTTTGTACTAAATGCATGTAAAATTTACTGAGATTATTTTAATAGGATTTGAATGGTCTTTCATATTATACAGAGTGACTGGTGAATTACTATCAATATTTAAGGAGCATACTCGGTACATGATTCTCATTCGAATTATGTAAAAAAAATTGGTACTTAATTTTTGACCAAATTTTCGTATAAATAAATAAAGTGTGTACACGTTCCAAGTGTTCGAGTGTGCGCGGCGTGCGGCGGCGTGCTGATACAACAACACGCCGCCGCGCGCGAGTGTGTGTGTGTGAGTGTATACCTAATCTGTAAGGTGTTCATACGATGCGTAATTAATTATATAACTATTGGTTAACTTTACTTAGAAGTTTATTAATATTTAATGTTATATTAATTTTTATTTTCTCATATATGATCGTCAAATATCACGTCCTCAAATATCGATAGTAATTCACCAGTCACCCTGTATATGACAATAATGAATAATTCAAAGTTTATTTGGTTTGCTCCAGAAAGGAATGCTAAGGGGAAAAAGTATGGGAATAACCAAGAAATTGATAGTTTCATTATATACATACTAGTTTTCCGCCCGCAGCTTCGCCCGCGTGGAGTTCAGTTATATCGCGTTTCCAAGAGAACCTTCCAAAAGTCTGGGATAAAAACTTCCTATGTTCTCTCTCAAGGTCAACTCTATCTCTACCAAATTTCATTAAAATCAGTTCAGTGGTTTAGGCGTGAAAGTGTAACAGACAGACAGACAGAGTTACTTTCGAGTTTTGCATTTATAATATTAGTAGGGATTATAATAATAATATGCTAGGAACAAATGATGTTTTACGAATATTATGATTTGATATGAAACAAACAAGACAATGGTCAAGTAATTTTTATGTCGTCTAAAAATAAACTAACTGTTAACTGGGACATTTGAGATCGATATTGGAGTTTATTCGGACGATACACTCGAGGCGAGGATCCATTTGTATTTAAACATTTATTGACTTTTAAAATATCACTATACATACTTGTACTTGAAATGTACATTTATTTAAGTTATAGAAGTATAGTGTAATTATTATTCTCAATGAAATACGTGTAATTTTTATATGAGATGCTATCAAAATTTGGTGATATTGTTAGACTCGGTAGCTTGAATTGCAAAGTGTATATAATATATTTAAGTTATAAAATATATAATGAAAATTCATCGCACAACCAGGATCGAACTTACAACCATATATTTATGATGATATTTCACGTTATAATTGATTTACTAAATAATTTCTCGTGTCCTGATTCCAGATTTTGAGTTAACCATTCTTTATATGTAACGGTAACTCCAGACAGAAGTATCACCTATTAGTATTTCTCACGCAAAATAATATTCAATGTTTCTTAACTTCTAAAGATACGGACAATATATAAACATGTCAAATAAATTGACTAATCAAAGCTATGTTGAACTACCACTTAAATTACCATTTAACTTTCGACGTCGCAGTTGCTTCTTTTTATCATATATATCAGAATTTTACGTTATTTTATACAGGTTGATGAAATGTATCCGATCCCTACTTGTATGCAAAAATAAAAAACGAATCCTCTTTAAATGAAACATTGTAAACATGCCAAAGAAAATGACAAATCAAACTACTACTTAAATGTGAAACTACTACTTAAATAAACACTTATCTTTCGAAGTCAAAATTGCTTCTTTTAATATCAGAATATGTATAGTATGTACGTTATACTATACAGGTTGATGAAATGTATCCAATACCAAGTTTTATGCAAAAATAAAAAAGGAATTCTCTTAAAACGAAATAGCTGAGTATAACATTTTAGTGTTGTCTGGTGCTAGATCATCATTCCATCAAGTCGAACTAATTCAGAGTTGCTTGCACCCTTTAACTGTGAGATTTGGAAGACGACCTTTCAAGTACAAGTTGACCTTTGAACTCTGTTTATCTATTAAATATTTTTTGACATACGATACAGAAATATTTTTTATTTGTGGGCATTAAAATATATTATTCTAATTTTAGACTAATATATTTAAGAGTTGTAACTGTTTATTTTGTTGTGTTTTTTTGTTATAGATATTTCAATAATAATTTTAATTAAAAAACATTATTTTAGCGTATTGTGAATTTTTACCCGTCAATCGAAATGCGATAAATCTGTTACTAATTTTTGATTCAACAAAAGTTAATAACAATCAAATTAAGTTCTTTAAATTTCATCTTTCGTTTTAGAAAACAATTAGGTTATAATTACATAATATTGTACATCATAAAGAAAAGCCATCAACAGAAAAAAGACTAGGATTTTTTAAATCTTTTTCACTTTTGATAATTTTTTGCTTACTTTAAGTTTTCATCGTCACACTACATACGAGGCGTTGTTCGTTTTATAATCAACTAGCTTTCCGCCCGCAGCTTCGCTCGCGTGGAGTTCGGTTTCGAAGAGAACCTTTTAAAAGTCTGGGATAAAAACAATCCTATGTTCTTTCTCAACGTCAACTCTATCTCTGTACCAAATTTCATTAAAATCAGTTCTGTGGTTTAGGCGTTAAAGCGTAACAGACAGACAGACAGACAGAGTTACTTTCGCATTTATAATATTAGTAGGGATAGCATACTTTTATACTATAATGTGTGCGTATTTATGAATGAAAACTCTGTTTTGAATTGAAGCTCTGCATAGAGTGTAACGAGACACTTGTAATAAGCGTACTTTATCTTCACATCGAATTTTGTTACCAAATTAAAATATTTTTTATAATTGTACTACAGTTTCAATTTATACCCCTACCTTAATTAGCTTTTATTATTTTAAATTCTATTAATATTATAAATACAAATGTCTGTGACGTATTTGAATCTATGTAGTTTTGTTGCTCTTTCACGTAAAAAATAATGAGCGTACATTTATGTGAGTTAGAGTAATACAGTTCAGACATCAGATGTATGTGGTAGAGCCTAGCTGTGGTCAAATTACCTTACTTTTCCCTATTTCCTCCCTTTTTTGATATTTCCCTATTCCCACCCCTCCCTCTTCCTCAACAATCAAGGTTGGCAACGCATCCGTAACATCTATGTTGCGGATGTCCATGGGCGACGGTAACTACCTTCCACCAAGTAGGCCGTCTGCTCGTTTGTCACCTTTCCCTTTTCCCTTTTCCCACCCTTTCCCTTTTTCCTTCCCTCACTCCCTCCCTTCATCTCAATCTTCTCCAAATAAGGGTAGCAAAACATCCGCAAAACTATCTTACAGATGTCCATGGGCGACGGTACTACCTCCATGATGTAAACTGTCTGCCCGTTTGCCCCCTTTGTCATAAAAAGAGAACATATGGGCTACTAGCTTTCCGCCAGCAGCTTCTCCCGCGTGGAGTTCGGTTATATCGCGTTTCCAAGAGAACCTTTCAAAAGTCTGGGATAAAAACTATCCTATGTTATTAGTCAAGGTCAACTCTATCTCTGTACCAAATTTTATTAAAATCAGTTCAGTGGTTTAGGCGTGAAAGCGTAACAGACAGACAGATAGAGTTACTTTCGCATTTATAATATTAGTAGGGATAATAGGTGTTCATTCATGTTTCATAATTGTGTCGGTACTTTTGTTAACTATATGTTTATATGTTCCAGGTGATAGTAGAGTCTCACAAGGAGCTCCGTTGTCCAGAATGCCGCGTGTTAGTGGAGGCGCGGGTAGAGGAGCTGCCTCCGAACGTGCTATTAATGAGGATCCTCGAGGGCATGAAGAATGCTCCGAGGAAGACCAGTTCCACAAGAAACAAGAACACGCACGCACAGGTACTTTCTAAGAGTATTTAGACACCACTGACTGATGAAGGAAAACATCGTGAGCACACCTGGACTTATAATTTCAAATCATAAGTTTGAAATCACCAACCCGTCTTGAGCAAGTGTGGTGATTAATGCTCAAACCTTCTCCATGTGAGAAGAGACCTTTGCTCAGCAGTGGGCTCTGATATGCTGATGATGATGACGCACAGTTACAGACAACAGGAGACCATTTAAAAGAAACTTATATTTATCAGATTAATATGAGTATTATATTCTTTTTAAAAACTACATACTCCCGAAGAGATTCCGTCTGCCCGTGATCATGGTTGCTGCTAACTGCTAAGTATACGAAATGTCGGGACTATGTAGTTTTTGAAAATAATAAAATACGCGAAATAATCCAAAAATATGAGTGTCATTTAAATGTATATTCCCGAAAGTCTTAGATCTCATTACCATTTAAAATGTTATTAATTAAAATCAGCCTTTCATATTTGAATAAGATACTCTATCTAAGTCTAACCGATTACGAAAAAGAGAGTTCTTTGTTCGTATGTCTGTATATGGAAGACCTGCTGAAAAGGCGTTATATAAATAAAAATGCCTTTTTTTATCGACAACGAAAATTTATTGAATTAATAAATTTGTGAATGAATAAATTTATTGATTTTCAAAGAAAAAAATAAACATTAAGAAAAGTTACATCCGATTCACTACAATAACAGTTAAAGTCATCTGGAGTGTTTTTTCTCAGAAAATGGAGTCTTAATATGTTTTATTTGTCATAACTATTTATTAATAAAAATAAATTTGTCATTTCAAAGATATTCAAAATTCATTTCAAGATATTCAAAAATTAAACGTTCGTTTCTATAATAATTGTATTAACGTGTTAAATAATTTATTTTATAATAGTATTATTGTAAGTCTAAAAATGTATTATATTTAAAATAATGAGGATCACATAAAAAATAACTTCTTTAATAAACAGATTTTTTTTTTATAATCTGTGTTTTTTGCATGTAAAAAATATCTTTTTACATATAATTTTTGTCTTTATATTAAAGGCTGCGTCAGTGGTACATCAATCAACCCGTGCGAACAGACAGCCCCCTCCACACGGCCGAGCTTTATATGATTTCGTCTCAAAAGAACCAGGGTATGTATATAGAAGTAAAGTAATTTATTATACTACTAGCTGCGCCCCGCAGATTTCCGGGATGTAAAGTAGCCTATGTGTTATTCCTGGACGTCGGCTTCCTGTATACAAAATTTTATCAAAATCGGTTCAGCAGATTGCGCGTGAAGAAGTAACAAACATACACACACTCACAAACTTTCGCAATTATAATATTAGTAGGATACTAGTTTTGTATTACTATAATCTCTAAGAAGAATGTTTTAACTGAAATATTTTCCAAATTAACGACTTCTAAGGTATTTTCTTCAGAATTAGTAATAAATTAAACACTATACGTAATAATTGTAAAAAAATAACCTTAAAAGTTGTTATTTTACAAAATATTTCAGCTTAAACTTTCTTTTGATAATCTGCTTCCAATGTAGATACACGGAATTATCCAATGGTAGTTACTCGGATTTGCACTATCCCCGACGATATGAATGTTTGTTGCACTTAAACGCGGAAACCGTTTGAATGATTCTGGTGTAACTTTACATTAATGTAGCTTTGATATCAGAGTAGGACATAGGCTATAATTCGTCTCTTCATTCACGTAGTTACTTCAGTATAAATCCATGATATTTGTATTGTATATGAAGTCACTTGACACACATTATAGATGTCGCTGATTGTCATATTATTCTACACTATACTTTTCTCTCTGTACCTAAAGCAAAATACCACGCAGACAAATTCGCAATAGAAAACTAGTAAATAATATACAGCCTTATATACATACATATATATTTTTTATATGTAATTTTGAAAGTATACATAATGTAATGACAATAATAGATAACAAAATTATATATGACTGTAAATTATAACTTCATACAATAAGTTATCACAAATATGATAAATGGCTATTATAATTTATAGTATTATCATAAGTTATGTTTATAAACAATTATGTTCAATGTGTTATAATTTATTAGAGTTTGTTTATTTATTCATTTATTGATTTATTTACTTTGTCCATGTTTCCAGTGATCTGTCGTTCAAGAAAGGCGAGACTATATTGCTTCAGAAGAAGTTGGATACATTCTGGTACCACGGAGAATGTTCGGGAAGGACTGGCATGTTCCCTATTACATATGTACAGGTATACAAACATACATACATATGTTAAATGACACATTTCATTTCAATTATATGTATACTTTGAATATTTTTAGTATATTATAGTTATACTTATATTAGTTTGTAAGGATGCATAGTTTGTTCCAAATATTTGTATTATTGAACTTTTGAATCAAAACTGCCATATAAGAAAAGCTTATAAATGTCTGTCTCAGTATTTGTTTTGTATTTGCTGTGTATATTGCAAATAAAGGTAGCAGGTTCAATTCCGCTATGATTTTTGTTATTGTATGTTGTCCATTTGAATGTGCATTCAAGTATAGCTCAACACTGTCTTAACACATACATATAAACATTTATTATACATAAACAAATATTTAATTTTCAGGTGGTGGTACCACTTCCGGTACCGTCAGCGCTGTGCAAGGCTCTATATGACTTCCGGATGTCGGCTCCCGACGAAGAAGGATGTCTGGCCTTCGATAAAGGTGTCTTAAAAAATTACTATTAAATAAAACTAGTATATTCAGATATTAAAACGCGTTTTGTACTATTTTAAAGTAAATACTCCCAAGTCCCGACGTTTTGGTTACTTTGCAGCAACCGTTATCATAGGCAGAGGAGTTTACTTTTAATTCATAATTAATATTAAAAAAATATCCATATAATATATTTTAAATGGACAGAAAATCCTAATGGACATATGTTACGTATACATACATGCCTTTACATATGTCAAAGATAATATTTTCTGAACATTTCTATTATTAAGTACATAAAGCTTTTATATAGAGTTATAATATTTATGCCTAACATTTTTTTTTATATGTATTCTTTACTTTTATCATATAAATATTTCTTTTACTATATTGTATATATTTTTCTAATTCCAGGTGCGATAATAACAGTTCATCGGAGAGTTGACGAGAACTGGGCTGAAGGTAGACTGGAGCAGAGGGTCGGCATCTTCCCTATAGCATTTGTGGAACTGAATCATGCTGCTAGGCTGCTTATGAATAAGTAATTATACATATATACAATACTAGCTTTCCGTCGAGTTCGGTTATATCGCGTTTCCAAGAGAACCTTTCAAAAGTCTGGGATAAAAACTATCCTATGTTCTTTATCAACGTCAACTCTATCTCTGTACCAAATTTCATTAAAATCAGTTCAGTGATTTAGGCGTGAAAAAGTAACAGACAGACTGACAGAGTTACTTTCGCATTTATAATATTAGTAGGGATATATAATATATGTGTATATGTAATATATTCTTAGAAACAAGAGCAAAACTTGATTTCTTTTTATAATACATACAATTTCCCTATTAATTTATTACATTAATTAAAAACTAACACCGATTTTAAATTATTAACTTTCAACTAACTCAATTTTAGCTTATCGTAAAAGCGAATCTGAATATAACACAACTGAAAGATTTTGAACACATTCTGTAAATCTACTAATGATTTATGAACGAAAATATGATCTTATTTCCTCTGACAACAGGTTATATGTATTTAACCTCTCTCCTACCCTCCCATATTCCTACAATATATACATACTAGAAGACCCGGCGAACTTCGTATCTCCCTATAATCAAGAAATATCTATTACGTTTTTTTATTTATATTTTTGTACTTTACCTATTAAAGCTATAAATCTCCGTGTTTTGAAGTGCGACAGAATGATTGACATATTAGTTAGTTGTCAAATCTAATGTCAAAAAAAAACGTTTGTATCAACAACTACTAATAAATTAAAAATGAATTAAAAAAAACATTGTCCAGCGAACAAAATTGTGGATCTAAACCATTCCCAGATCCCCTTGAACACACACAAAAAATTTCATCAAAATCGGTCCAGTCCTTTGAGAGAAGTTCAGTGACATACATACTCACAGAAGAATTATATATACAGGGTGACTGGTGAATTCAGAATTACTATCGATCAGTGGCGGCTGTACCTTAAGTGCACTCGTGCGCTGAACCACCAATTCAAAAGATTTAAAAATTACAAAATATTACTTCATCTTTATTTTTAAATTACCATTTTAATATTTATTTTCTTAACTTACAAAAACGTATAAAAAATTAAATTTTATAATTATAGTCAAAAAGTTTGAGCGCTTTACTAAACTAATATCTCGTGCGCTTCGGCGAGTGCACGAGGACTGCTAATACATCTTGTATGAGATACGCATTAATACGCCTGGCGCGTGAAACAAAAGATAGTTCATAGAAATGTAACGAGTAATGAGTCGGTTCTCGAGCGCCGCACGAGCGGCCGAAGATTACCGAGAGCACCCGATGTATGACGAATTGGAATTAAAAGAATAAAACTTTTCTCCGAAATACCATGCACTTGCTAAATGCACTTTCTGTGCTTAGTATTGAATAAAAAAATATATACAAACAATACCTGATTTTAATAAACAGGTGATTGAACATTTCGCTTCGGAAAAATGTCGTTGCATTAATTAATGTATAAAAAGTAAACTTATTTTATGTCAATTGGTTTTTTGTTGCATTTTCTAATTTTAATATTTTAGTAAAGTGCACCACCAGTTCGATAACCCACCAGCCGCCACTGCTATCGATACTTGAGGACGTGATATTTGACGATCATATGTGACAAAATAAAACTTAATATAACATAAATATTAATAAACTTCTAAGTAAAGTTAACCAAAAGTTATGTAATTAATTACGCATCGTGTGAACACCCTACAGATTAGGTATACACACACACTCACACATACGCGTGCGGCGGCGTAGTGTTGTATCAGCACGCCGCCGCACGCGTCCACACTTGGAACACTTGGAACGTGTCAACACTTTATTTATTTATACGGAAATTTTGTCAAAAATTAAGTGCCTATTTTTTTTACATAATTCGAATGAGAATCATGTACCGAGTATTCTCCTTAAATATTGATAGTAATTCACCAGTCACCCTGAATAAAGATATATAATATTAATGTTGGTTTAATCATTATTCATATCTTTTCCAGCACTTCATTGAACCGGCCTGTTCCTCCTATTCCCGATCACTCCAGGGCCGGACATTCTGAACACAGATACCATGTATGTTTGTTTTTTTCAATCTGTTTATCATAATTACTAAACCAATATACATTATTTAAGTAATTATAACTTAGTCCTATATTTCAACTTTTTGTTTCTCAAATGGATGATAAATTCAATTTATCATGAATATTGCGAGCATTTTCATCTTAATATTTTTTTGGTTTGTGAAAAAGGGCAATAATAACCAATTAAAAATAAACAAATGCAAAATTGTATTATTTCTATACTATAATGTTTATGGCTTATCTAATAATATATGCATCTTATTTACATTCTTCTTCTACCTGGCAATTTCCCAGCTTTAGCCAGGGTCTGCCTTACATGTTGTGAATAGTTTGGCTAATTGTTTTTACGACTGGCCGCCTGCCTGACATCAACCCTCTTTGGGAATGCATTAATCAGTGATGTCTAAATACTCTTAGAAAATACATATGACTCGGTACTTGCCCGGGCCAGGATCGAACCCGCATCCTCGTGCTTAAGAGGCGGGCCTTTTAACCACTAGGCCACCACTGACTTAAATCTTATTTACATTATTCCTATTAATAAAAAATACTATTATATTTTCAGCATCCACACAGATATCAGCAAATGACGATGTCAACACCGACGTCTGCCGGTCAGGGGAATTACCAGAATATAGCTACAATGAGTCAATCACATCCCAACTACCATCAAGCTATGGCACAGCAATCAATCCTTGTACCACAGCAAGTTAACCAAGTTGCTAACATCGGTCTCATCTCTACAGTACCTAGAAATATCATGGAACAGACAAAAAACCCTATAGACATGATAAATCACTTCATCAACATGAGCAAACCCCATCAAACCATACAAGTCCAAAGTGTACCACGTATAGGTGAGAACTACGATAGACTGAGAGCGACGAAGTTCGATAACTACGCCAACCCGAAAACGGAAATGACGTATCAGAATGTCCGGAATGAACAGTTTCCGGTGACTAGTTTCAATAACGTTAGCTCTGATTCAAGTTCGAGTGTTACACCGTCGGGTAATATTGGCGGTAGTTCGACAAATACACCGAATACGAGCTCCAATACAAGCACGTGTGAGAGCGCGGAACCTAGCCTACCTAGCTCGCCTGATAATAATACCGAACGAAATTCAACCGTAACACCATCTAATAACGTCCAAAATGAAACGCAAGAAAATCAGGATTCATTAAACGCTTCCATTGGAGTGCTAAGTCTGAACGAGAGTTCTACAGCTACTAATACGTCGCTGAATGTCAGCCTACCTTCAGAAGGTCCACAATCGACTGCATGTAATGGGAGTAATTCGTTGCCAAATCAAGTAGAAAGCCAGGAAGCTGCTAGCAATAATGAACCTTCGAGACTAGAGGTTCCATCGTCGTCGAAGAATGTCCAGACTCGGTCTAGCGGTCCAGACTCATTACTGACTTTCGGTCTAGGACTCCAGGCCGCTTTATCCCCATCCCATAAGGATGGGAACCACTTGGTCAGAGGACACCATAAAGAGAGGGAAAAGAGACACAGTTTGACGCCATCATCACATTTACAAGGGAACCATACACCAAATAGGTATTATTATACATATATGTTTGATTATTCTTATGTTTTATTCTTCTAAAATGTCACAATTTAATTTTCACACACAAAATACTATAGATCATACCAAAAATTTTAATAGTCAATATTCTACATTAACATTATTATTTTTTACATTCCAGGCATTCAGCTGAGATACTAGCCACAAGTCTTCTAGATACAACGGAAAGAGAGAGGCCGGAGAGAGATAGAGATAGAACAGAGAGAGAAAGAGAGAGACGTAGACGAAGATCTAGAAGTAACGAACGTCCCCTACCCGCGGCATACATAGCGCTGTACCCTTACAAGCCGCAGAAACCGGATGAGTTAGAATTAAAGAAAGGAGGTTGGTGCTATAATTTAACCTATTCCATCATATAAGGAACTTTGTATATACACTTTGAACTAATCTTAAAATTATCGAACCGATCGAACCAAATACAAATATACCATCATTCATTAAAATAACAAAACAGTTATTTCTATTAATCTTGTGAGTAACTAAATAGAGAAATATAATTATTTGTCATCCATCAATACAAACGGCTACATCGAAAGTGGTAGACTTATTCTCTCAATCTTACGAGGGTCAAACTGAAAGTTCTTAGAAAATCAAAAACCGATTACATTAGCCAGTTATTAGTTTTATTATATCTTTTCAAAATATTGTCCATTCACGTCAATACACCGCTGCATGCGATGGATGTACTGTACTGTAATGTACTGGTCATGGCGTCCTGCGTTTTTTCATAAAGGGGCTGTCCATTAATCACGTGAGGCTTGAAAGGGGGGGGAGGGGTTTGATAAAAATCACGAAAATAACACAAGGGGGAGGGGGGGTGTAGTAAGATATCACGTGTATTTATTTTTTCGTCTAACGCGCGATTTTTAAACAAATATATTTTATTATGGTCCTTAATTTCAGAATAAAATAAGATTATAGATTTATACCTGTATTTAAATTAAGATAATATTCAGAAAATTTTAAGATTCGTTGTAGGTACTAAAAATACACGTGATGTTGAGAAGGGGGAGGGGGGTGGTCTTAAACCTCACTACGTATCACCAATGGGGGCGGGGGGGTTAAAAAATGCTAAAAAAAGATCACGTGATTAATGGACAACCCCAAAGGTATCTAGGAGAGCCCGTGAAAGATGATGGTAAAATGACATGCTGCCCTATATTTGCTGCATTAATATTAGTGTCTTGGTTTAATGCATCCCTTAAATGAATGTAATCATCCGCTCTAAGTTTCGATTGGTTGTGAGAAATAAAATTCAACCTTTCTGATATCATCTTAGCCATCATATCAACGCAGTACTGATTGAATAAGTCTCTGTAATAATGTAATGAATTAAAACAGTTAGCTTTAATCATTAATATGTACGCATAGAACTGCATACAGGAAACAGTCTTATTTCTAGCAGAATTTTGCTGTGGAATAGTCACAGAGTAACCGTCTTCTCCAGTTATAAACATTACAGGGTACTGTAACGGATCATAGGCACGGTGCAATTCGGATACTCTTTTTAGTTGGCCATCTCTACCATGCAGCACTATATCCCTTGGACCCTTTTCTTCATCAATTAATGGAACAGCTACCTCGTTTATCGTTGGAGCATTATATCTACATGGGACTGGGAGGGTCCCGTGTTTCGAACTCTAGCCATTTCCTTATGTCCGTTGTTTCCTTGAGATTTGTGGCTAGTGTTTCCCTCGTACTCCTCATTTCGGCGGTAATTTCTTCTAAGCTCTTTGAGTGGGCCCTTTCCAGTCGCGCAAGCTCCTGCGCGTGGCGCTATCTCTCTTTTTCCAGATTATTTTTGTCTTGATCTGGAATCAGAGAGGGATAGTACAATCTCGTAAAGGGCCTGCATACTTTCAAGGGCTGTTGTTTTGAGCTCCTTTTTGATATTTGTCGCCTGTTCCAGAGCTTCTTTACCGTTCAGGAGTAAGGTGTTAGCCTCCTTAGTAGCAGCGTCCATCGCTACTCCTCTGCCTCTCTTGGTGGTGAATAGCAGGCTTTTTCTCCCCTTTCTCTGCAATGGGACTGTGTCATTGTCGGGGAAATAAGATGGAATGGAGCCCACCGAGCTGTCGCTATCCTCCGAGGCCGGATCTCGTCCTGTGTTTTCGGGGGATTGTGCGTCCTGGTTAACGCTGTCTATGACAGAGCTGGCGGATGAAGGGGGCGAGGGCGTCGCTGCTTCGGTGTTTTGTCTCGATTCTGGAGTCAGGACGGGGCTGTCGCCGAGGACTCGTGCTAGGTCTTCCTCTTCTTGCATGTTTCTCGTCGCTGTTTTGGTAAGGACCTTCTGCTTTAAAGTCCTCTGTTTTGTTGGTGTTAGTGCTGTTTTGGTAGATGTTTGTTTAACAGTCTTAACTACAGGTTTCCTTGCCGGTTTTTGATTGGTTGAGGTGGATGGAGCAGATGTTGGCGCCAACTTTAGCTCTTGGGATTGATCGGCCATTTTTATCAGGTACTCACCAGCTGTCCTGGATAGATGACCACGAGCCCCCTGGTTTTCAGGGAAAATTATATCTCCCGACCCGCGCTCCAGAATAATCTGACAATTTCAGGGAATGTGCTTATCACTATTCCTGATATAATTATCAAATAATATCTGGGGGTAGTCGATCTCCTTTTTGATCTGCGGCGGTTTTTAGATTTGTAATTTTAAGGTTATTCCTGTTTTCTCCCGTAACTCTTCACAGGATCTCTTCACCGAGGATCTTGAGGTGTCTTTAGTTTTGTCTTGTTGGTGGCTATAATATTATGATGTTTAATGCAGCCGCACGTTGCCGAATCAAAGACCGCGTGCCACGTGGTTTCCGTAAATGACTGTTCCTCCCTAGATTCTTCCCGGAAAATTCTTCCAGATGTGTCGGAAGATGTGCCTCGTTGTAACACGTGATATGGCGGTATAAAAAGTGTAAGTCGTCGATAGCTTTTCTGAGTTTTTTTGGAGATAAGAGTTCCAAATTTTTAAAATTCCCGGTTTTTCTGGAATTACTCTTTGGATTTTCCGACTTTTCACTTAAAACTTTCACCAAAACACAGAGGGCACTGAAACGCGCACGTGGACACTAATTTTATTTAAATTGGTTAACTTTTGCCACTTTTATGAATTTTTAACTGAAAGCGTTTCAATTTAGATGCGTTCGCGACGGCGGTGACCTAGTTTCTTCAAAATTAATATAACATAAATATTAATAAACTTCAAAGTAAAGTTTACCAAAAGTTATGTAATTAATTACACATCGTGTGAACACCCTACAGATTAGGTATACACACACACACACACACACACACACGCGTGCGGCGGCGTGGTGTTGTATCAGCACGCCGCCGCACGCGTCCACACTTGGAACGTGTACACACTTTATTTATTTATACGGAAATTTGGTCAAAAATTAAGTACCTATTTTTTTTACATAATTCGAATGAGAATCATGTACCGAGTATTCTCCTTAAATATTGATAGTAATTCACCAGTCACCCTGTATAATTATTAATATTTCAGGTATATACACCGTATCGGAGCGTTGTCGCGACGGATGGTACAAGGGATGCTGCGAGAGATCATGTCGCGGGGGAGTGTTCCCTGGGAACTATGTAGCTCCGCTGGCTGCTACTACCGCTCCTACAACCACGACTACACGACCACGACACGAAAAGGTATGATTATATTCAATATACAACCTTGACTTTTCAATATATACTCTTCTTCTACCTGGCAATATCCCAGCTATAGCCAGGGTCTGCCTTACATGTGAATAGTTTCGGCTATTTGTACATATGATTCGGAAAAATCACATTGGTACTTGCTCAAGCCAGGATCGAACCCGCGCCCTCGTGCATGAGGCGGGCCTTTTAACCACTAGGCCACCACTGATCCGTACATTTTGTATAATGTTTATACAGGTCATATTAAATGAGTACTTTTCATATCACCGATAATATAATAGTTATTTACATACAATAATGTCATATTTAAAGAAAAAAATCCTCAGTAATATTTATATTAAATGTATGTATGTTTGTAGTCTGTCACGTCATCAGCGAAACCAACGCCGTGTTCTCAAGGCGCCTCCAATGTATTAGCACCGCCTGACGCCCCACCACGAGCCACAAGCCCTACAATCACTGGTATATAACATAAATATATATTAATAAAACTTAATAAGGAAATTATATATTTAATATAATGCATAATATATGTATTAGGAGATATGATTTAAGTAAATATTAAGTTTTTCCTAAATTTACACCAACCAACGTAACAAGATAAATTTTGTAAACATATTGACATTATGTTAGCTTGATAGTGTTGGGTAAGATTATATACAAATATATGACAGGATATATCAGCTATGTTGATTGATAAAATATGTAATGATAGTAATATTATTTTTATATGAATTGATAGAAAAATTAAATAATTTTTCAGGACAACCTTTAACATATCCATGGAGCTCACCCATACAACATCAACAGAATACTCCTAGACCTGATAAGGTGAGTATTTATATAAAAATATATATTAATATTAATTTTAATAACATTAAATTAATCAAGTATATAAAAAAAGTCTATATTTGATGCTACTTATTGGTCCAATATATGAAATTTGAACTATAAATTGTCATGGTATATAATTCTTACAAAGGCTGTAGAAATTATATTGAGTATGTTATGAATATATACTTAAAGTTCTAAAGATTATTCATATATACTGAAATATAGTAGCAAAGGTATGTTAAAGGACCATGTATGTTATATAAATGTAATTTTTTTGTAACAAATGTTCCGAGAAACATAACAAATAAAAGCCATGTACAACATTTATTACAAGTATACTAAAAATGAATGTAGCATCACAACATATTACAAGCTTAGAATATCACTTATCTATATATATAAAAGAGATTTCCACCTATATATTGACTCATCATGATATCTCTGGAACCATGAGGCGATAAGGCGTAGTGACTTGAAATTTGGTAGGATTATTCCTTTCGCCGAGTATAGGTCAGCTAAGAACGGATTTTACGAAATTCCATCCATAAGGCCCTCCTTATGGATGGAATTTCGTAAAATCCTTGCGGGGGCGTTAATAATGGAAAATACGCTTTCACGAATAAACCACTGAACTGATTTTAATGAAATTTGGTACAGAGCTATCTCTATAGTTGACTTTGACAAAGAACATAGGATAGTTTTTATCCTAGACTTTTGAAAGGTTCTCTTGGAAACGCGATATAACTGAACTTAACGCGGGGGAAGCTGCGGGCGGAAAGCTAGTATAACATACAGTTCGAGTGTTATTTATATAATTTATATTATAATATTTCCAGTCTAAAGAAAAATCGAAGGCCGAGAAATCATTATCAACTGGTGTTTCTCTTATGAAGAGGCTCACCGCTATGAAGAAATGTAAATCACCACCACCAGTGGGCTATAGTATGGACAACCCTGTGTTTGACGACGGGCCCGGTACATCGCTGATGCCGCATCCCGTGCATGTTCGGTCAGTATACGATATGATTATGATATGATATGATTATGATATGACTATGATATGATATGGCTATGATATGATAGAACATGATATGATTATAGATCACTTTTCATAGAAAAATAATATTGTTTAATGCGGATTGCAATATTTTGCATGAATTGAATTTACTTTTAAATTATCAGTTATTGTTTGGTAAGCAGTGAAGTTAATTTTGAAAATAGCGCCAAAAAGTAATAAGTCTTAATAGGAGGCTTATAAAATTGTGTCATAAGGATTATTAACTGATAAATATATTTTTATATTATACTCTGACAAATTTTAGGAAAAAAAAGGAATATTTTTGTTTAAAATCTTACAATATAATGAAAACATTTATGTACCATAAGTTCAGCTTTATTTTAAAAACATTGGTTTTTTCAATGAAATCGTATCACGAACATAGGTATCACGACATATATAACTAATGAAATATATGTTATATAATAAATATTACAAGAATTAAAATTTATCATCAACATTGCAAATGTCCGTTCATAACTGCATGTATGTCCCACTAACATAACATGTTTGCATTGTGTTGAATTTGTTGCAATGCTTTGTTTCTTTTAATTAATATAGTAATAAAACAAAGTGTTGGCAGTGTTTGTACTATAATGATTTCTGTAACAAGGAATTCAAAGTCCACAGAATATATTTTGTAATCACAGATGATTAATTATTATTTTCTTAATTTTTCTGTGGACTATGACTATGTTTGTTTTCATTTGTCATGTTACTGCATCGTGTACGATTGTGTCCTGCGCTCTTTTAAATAATAATTATATATGAAACGCATTTATAGTTAAATTAATGAATGATAGGACATTAATAAATTCCCTTAAGGCATGATAAGGCTCATGATTCCTCGCGTATAGAAATGAGTCCACATTGTTTAGACATAAATGTGGTACACTAAAGACAAAATTAAAATTTCATTCATATAAATATGGACAATTTGTCAATATTAAATACGCAAATTTGTCTAACAGACTGACTGACGGAATAATTTAGTTAAAATATGATTATGTTAAAGCCAGTGACTTCACAATATCCCCTCCTACCACTTATAGTAACATAGTTTACCTGTCGTTATCCCTTTAGTATAATAATAGTATGTTATGCAAGAGAGCGTAGACCAAATCGCACAGAGTAGTACACAGTAGAGGTGACAGGTCGGGGTCGTGCCCCTCGCAGCTGTTGAGAGCTCTGCCCGCCGCGCGTCTACGGCACGATCGACTACACAGGTACAGTCACACACACACACACACACACATACACGTAAACAAATATAAACACTAGTAAAATACAGGACACACACACATATACACATAGAAACACACACAAAAACGAATCGATACCTAGGCGCAATGCGTGCACCGAACGCTTATATGCATATGTGTGCTTAAGTGGTTTTGCATCACTCAACAAACAAGATTATTGAATGGACAACTTTGAATTTGCCTGTGTCGTTGTGAATGCACACTCCTAATATACACAAAACTATCACAAATCCAAGCTTTGTAGCTTATATATGTATATAACACCGTACATACAAAATAATACACCTATTTTATTATTTTATTCTACACTTTCATTTTCATTAATTACGTATGTCAGTAAAAACGATCAGGGGTAAAGAACAAATATATAACTTTTCTATGGACATAAAAGTAATTTGTTTTGAATAGAACAAAAGAATGATTACACAACATTATTTAAAAGTATTCAATTTAGTTATAATAACTTTTCACACTAATAGCACTATAATCCTATACAATGGTGAACACATTTTTTACTGCATTTTTATTTTGTGTTTGTTTTGTTTGTGTCGCTTACTTCATCGCACTCGGGGTCATCTATATATATTTATAAAAATTGTGTGCCTTAAAATAATAACATTAGTAACTCTTCTTTAATTTCAAAACTAGTTATGAATAACTAAACATACGGAGAATATTGTTAAAAATATATTAATTACATTATAAAAACTATCTTATATTGTTGTGTACATTTAATTCTAGAAGTTTCTATGTTAAATAATAATATTACTATAGCCGCGGTTCAAGCGACGCGGAGTGGGGACATCGCAAGTCGGCGTCATTGGACGTGTCTCGGCGGGAAAGACACGCGCCTGTCAAAGAAAAGTGAGTCATTTTGTTTGTATTTGTAAGTATCGTGATAGTTTATTTTCTATAATTTACTAATAAATAACAAAATTATTAAAGGATTATGTGTTTAAATGTGTGGATTAGAAATACGCGAGATATCGTGCTACTTTAGTGTATCGACGTAAATTATTGGGTTGTTTGGAAAGTCATTTCGTTTTTTTTTGCGGAACATGAAAGATAGTTTTCGTATAATGAATAAATATTTTATTGAATTATATATTGGCCATTCTGGTCCAACACCTTTTGGCCAGCTTTTTGGCAGTAACATAATTTCCCTCTTATAAAAGTTTTGGTCCTTGCTGGCAAAAAACTGGTTCAGGTGGTTTTTGACATCTTCATTTGAAGTAAAGGTTTTGCCATCCAAAAAATTTTGCAGGGACCGGAACAAATAGTAGTCGGAAGGCGCCAGAACTGGAGAATATGGTGGATGTTGCAATACGTCCCATTCAAGCTGTAAAAGTTTTTTGCGAGTGTTCAAATTTGTGTGAGGTATCGCATTATCCTGGTGGAACACTACACTCTTCCTGTTGATTAATTCAGGCCTCTTCTCTTTAAGTGAATCATTCAATTTGTCCAGCTGGTGACAATAGACATCTGAATTAATCGTTGTATTGTCCGGCAAAACCCTAAAAAAAAAAAGATTCCTTTGACATCCCACCAAACGGAGAGCATCACCTTTTTTAGGTTAATGTTGGCTTTTGACACGCTTTGAGCCGGTTCATCTTTTCTGCTCCATTACCTCTTGCGTTTAACATTGTTGTATACAACCCATTTTTCGTCCCCAGTAATAATCCGCTTCAAAAATGGATCATTTTCTTGACGTTTGAGGAGCGAATCACACGCGTCAACGCGACGACACAAACTTCGCTCCGTAAGGTCATGGGGCACCCTTTCAAATGGCCATAAACAGCCAAAATCGACAAATTTAATCTCTTACCGATCTCTCGTGTGGTTATTCACCGATTTGCATCGACTGTCTTTATCGCATCTTTGTCAGCTTCGACTGGGCTTCCAGACCGTGGTGCACCTTCGACATCAAAATTGCCGGATCGAAATTTTGCAAACCAGTTCTGGCACTGGCGTACTGTTAACACGACTTCTCCATACACATCCGTCAATTTTTTCTCGCTTGGACAGCATTTTTACCGTTTCTGAAGTAAAAAAGTAAAATATGACGAAAATACTGCTTATTGCTCTCCATATTTAAAAGGGCACCAACCAAAAACTACTGCGTAGAATTAATAGAACTTTTTCACACACAAGCCTTGCAATATCAGCTCTCAAGACATAATGGTTATGCGGCTTAAGTGTGAAGTTGGTTTCGAAAAAACGTAATTAAGTCATCTGACAGGAAAAAACGAAATTACTTTCCGAACAACCTATTATATATGGAATTCATATCATACAAGTCGTTTTATATAGAAGTACATAGTTTATGAAGAAAAACTAAGTGACATTTGATATTTTAGATTTCGCTGTATTGTACCGTATCCACCGAATTCTGAATACGAATTGGAGTTGAAAGTTGATGATATAGTTTTGGTGTGTAAGAAGAGAGGTGATGGCTGGTACAAGGGTACGTTACAACGTACGGGAAGAACAGGATTATTCCCGGCATCTTTCGTACAAAGTTGTCCACCGGATTGATGTAGAACCACACGACCAAGGTATTGTATATTTTAAACAGTCGTTTTAGTTAGATAAATGCAAGTGGAATTAAATTTTAAATAGTCTAAATGTATTTCTGCCATTTTAAAGTGATTTTTTATAATGTATAACTTAGTATAGAGTTATATATTTCTTGTAAATCTTAATATGTATTGTCTGGTTTTAGTTTGTAAAGATAGCTAAGTAGTATTAGGTGTACATTGTTCGTTATAAATTATATTATTGGACCATTGAAAATAAAATAATGTTTTAAGAGTTTATAACTTAGTGGTGCCATCATTAAATACCACCAAATATATGAAAAATTAAATATATATGTCTTAACTGTCCTTATATTGAATGATTTAAAATGTTTTAGACAAATTTACAATGGTTGAATTAAGTAAAAAAATATGTTTTTAAAATCATATTAGGAACCTACATATGATTTTGTTTCAAAAAATATATAATCAAAATTAATATTGCAATTATAATATGTTCAATTGTTTTTTAAAATATTTTCTGTGTATAAAATTCAAAATAAATTAATCTAAAAGTTATGTAAAATGAAAATTATCAAAAAATAAACAATTTAAAATATCCAAAAGTAATGGTCCTTGTAGTTATATAAATATATTTTAATACTTAGGTAATAATTATTATGGTTTCTGAATATCTTTATGCTGAATTATTTTTATAGGACCAAATACGCTTATTATGTTAGTTTAGTTATTATTACCTGTGTTCCAATAGTAATGAATTTATTTACTATCACTTAAAAGTTTGCATCATTTACTCAAAACAGACAGTTTAGCAGTTTACTATAATATATGAAGTTAGAACTGAATACTATCTGTATGTAGTTCAATGATGCCAACTCGTATTAAAGGTATTTATTTGTTTATTAAATTATGTATATATATATTACAATAATGGTAGTTTGTATGAAACAAATATGTAGGTTTTTGGAATACAGGTAGGTCGCCCCGACATTAATTTGTAACTGCCATATTATGAAATTCATTTTTCTATAACAAATTTCTTATAGTACGGAATTGTGAATGTTTTTACTTCTTTTTGTTTTAATTTTAAGATTAAATTTTTTTAGCTAATGTAATGTTAGTATAGGTATTTAGATATTTTAAAAATTTTCTTACGGTATATCTTTGTAGCCGTTATATATATAAGGGAGTTTATTAAGACTGTATATTTGTCTGTATGTGTATAATTAAAATTTTTTCATTAACCTAGTTATATATGTAAGATGTTACTGATGTAATTTTGACACTAACTTAAAATATTTACTCAGTCTCAAATTTATACTCATTTTTTTTTGTATTAATAATTGTAATTTTTTTTATAATGACTATGTATTTTATATAAAATGCTCAAAAATTATCTATTAATACTATCATTGTGGATGTATGTATGTGTAACATTATTTTTACTAACTCCTAAACTTGTCCATATATGTATATTTATTCCAAGAACTGATTTGTTTATATCTTAAACTCATCTCTATACTCTTGTACTCATGAATACAACGAATTTCTTTTGTTTTAATTTTATTTATTATTATTTAAGACTTAATATAAAATACCCATTTTCGATTTTAGTTTGATTTATATAGCCAATGAAATTATTGTAAAAATTTAATTACAAAATTATAGAAAATGGTAATGATTGTTAAAATAATTCATTGTTTGTTAATTGAGAACTAATATGGAAGTATTTTGAGAATAAAGTGATTGACATTTGGTGTTACAATGCTTGTAATCATATCGATGAGTTAAAATTAGGCGATTATGATGAGAAATAAACATTTCATCTGTATGTCTGGTGTTCATTATCCTTTCCTTTCACCTCCCAACTATAAAAACTATTATGATCTTTATGAAAACAAAAGCATCATTAATAAAAAAGAAAAACTTGATGAGTATTTCGATGGCTCCTACATATAAGGGCCACAGTGCAAAATGACAATTTTTCAGTAGAGTTGTTTTAAGTTTGATTTCAATGTATTTTTTACATGCGACAACTGATCTTGAAACTTTGCATAGCAACAATGACATACATGTACGTCATTTAAGCTTGATAGCCTTTTTTGTAAACCTACTAGTTTATTTTTAATAATATATATAAGCCCTTATACGTTAAAAAGTGTGTTACTTATGTTATTGCAATAAAAACTAACTCTTTCTACCAACAAATACGCATTTTTTAAAATGGATGTTACTGAATACGGTATTATGAAGTGTTTCAAGCAAAAAAATGAAAATTGCTACATTGGCCCTTATACATAGGACCAATCGATTTACTGAAATAAACCATACAAAAAATGTTTTATTTGGCAACACTTAAACATAATTTGAATAGTGTATTTTTGAAAATTTTGAACCAATGACTCCTATTACGTAATCAAATTGTGTTATACATATCTAGGTATAGTTTTATGAAAGGTTATCGGAAAAAACTAATCATGAGAACCCATTGTCAATGTTAAACAGTTATAAAACATTAATTACAGAGTGATAAGTTTAGCTTGCTTTCAAACTGGTTTAGTTTACAAATGACTTGAAATCCAATAACTTATTACTATCAACCAAGATACTTTGAGTTTTGACCCCTATAACTAAGCCGTCAAATTTATTTCTATAATATTTGTTATCAGAAATGCTATGTTAAATAAATATTTTAAACCACCTCAATGAATAATACGTTTCTCTTTAACCATTAACAATGAATTGTTTCTCTTGATAACTTGATAAATACATACATGACACAACGGTTAAAATGACAGGTGTCTTAATTGTTCGTCGTAATTGCCGCCATAACAGTATAATGCACACGCTCATACTGCATTGTAATATTATTATTTAAATATATTTTTTAAATAACGTAATGTATTTTAGATATAGTGAAAAGGGTTAACCAGTCGAAAAAGTAATTATCGCTTTCATCGAACCGAAACTTTCTAATTATTTGTTGTTCGCAAAATGTATTGTTTGGAAACTATTCAGCCTTTCACCCAATTTGTCTAAACTAAACGTAGTTCAATTATAAATCCAGTTACAATAGTGTTCCTTTAAAAAAACCGGTAATTGGTTTGTTATATAACATGTTTACTTTTTGTAAAACGCAGTATCGTTTTAGATTAACTATTATTTTGCGATATTATAAAATTTTCTATTTTAGCCACGTTTTATTAAATTAAGAAAAAAAAATTGAGGAAAAAGATTTACTTATAAATATTCATATTATGGATTTCTGTTTGTTTTTCTTTAGGTCCAAGTTAATATTAAAATTAGGTACTTCTCCAGAATAATTTATATATTATTTCAACCTAAAATAACCTAATACGAAAAACGTTTTACCGGTTCGGCGTATTGAGTTTTTGTTCTCTATAAACTCATTCTACAAACAGCATAGTATTATTCGTGTATATTCCTTATAGCCTGCTTATTGCAATGTTCAATAACGACTGCCAAATTGGCAACGGTTACAGGACAGTCACAATTTCTGAATAAGTTCTGTCTTAAATGGATAAATATCAACATTTATAGAGACCTAAATCTTTAATTACATAAGAATACTTTAATTCATGGATTAATATGAAATTTAGGATGATAATGACAGATTACGTCACGGTAAATATACTTTCTAAAATCTAAAATTTTTATATTAAAAACTTTATAAAGAAAATAGCGAAAAAATAAGACAAAAAACCCAAGTGATAGAAGCATTGAAACATGCACTACTCTTAAAATGGAAATGGGTAGGATACATCGCCCGCTCCTCTGCAGACAGATGAGTCAAGCGAGCAACTATTTGGAAGGGCCCAGGAGGTCTTGAAGTAAAAAGTCAAAAGGGCACGACATACCAGAAGTATCAGGAAGAAACTGGTTAAAAACAGCTACTGACAAGAAAAAATGGAAAAAACTGGAGGAAACCTATACCCGAAAGGGGCCATGACATATTTAGCTTATAATATTTATACTTAATGTTCTTTTTCCAACGGTAACCGATGTTTTGGATTAATAAAGGCTTTATTATTATTAAATATACTTTTGTTTTTAAATTTTGCTTTTTTAATATTTAATAAAATACTTAATGTCTTATCAATATCAACCTAGAAATAAAAGCATTATTTTAAAACATTTTTTTTTAATTTCTCTTATTTATGTTTAATAACTATATACTGTTTTATTCAAATTAAATTAATTTGTATGAAGAGTCACAAAAAGAATTAATAATTAATTATGTACTCATGGAAGGTTTTTTCGTCGTTATTGATACTAGATCTTATATATTAATTACATGAAGATAAAATTTCTAATAACTATTATAAGTAATTTTTTCTACAAAAAAATACATCAAGTACATAATGCCAACATATAAAAATATTTAATACAAGATGTATTTCAGAGAATATTAATTAATACAATTTTATTGGAATTGTTTACTATAATTATTAATAATAAAGATTGATTCATATAAGTACATTATATGAATATATCACGGCCTCACTCAGTGCCATATGCAAAGACTCGGACTTTACAGAAATGCGATCCGGCTCATTGTAAACTAAAACCCATTTTTCTATACACGATCTCTATTACAATAAATTCCAACCTTTGGTGTCGCTTCAATATTCATAGAGTGACATTTATGATTATTTATAAGCAATATTTAAATTTTATTACACATTAAGTGACTCATACATATAAAATCGTTAAATTTATTTTTGTATAAAAGATTTAAAAATGTCATTTTACGAGAAAACGTCTGTTAATGATATTTTAAATGTTTAAATATGCGATGCAATTGGATTATGACACAACTAAGGCTTCTCTTAAAGCATTTAAATGCATCGTAGAATGTACCGAGTACGGAATAATAATGAAAAACTAAATAGTACGCATTATTGTGAACAAGACGATTTTAATTAATATTAATTTCCTTGTAACCATTAGCCAACCATTATGAATGTAAGATTTGGAGCATGAAATACTATAACGCGATGGAATATGATACCGTGTTTTTACGTCTACATAGAAAATTTTACTATAAGAGTGACCGAAAGAGGTTAAAAGGTGTCTGTATTGTACCTAAATAATCACCTTTTAAATTATAGACCATGAAAATGTATACTAAAAACTAGATAAATGTACTTAAATGTCTAATGAAATAATAATATAAGTCAGCTGGTGTACACTGAATAAAAGGCTTGGAAAGTTAATTCGACAATCCACAGTTTATAATTATCTTATCAAATCAAAAAGCATTCGGAATCGTGACATCGATTTAGTGAAATGTGAACGTAGTCACGGGCTGAGGCAAAATGAAAGCAAGAATTCAAGTAACCCAATGCACCGATCGAGGTTAGTAACGAGACGCGCAAATCGTAGTGCAATTTGCAACTTGTGATATGTACATACTTCACTCGTCAGTTGAAACCAGACGCGGGACGAGGCGGGCGTGTACTTAGCCGCTTATTGTTGTGTACAAATACGTTATAATGCCGACAGATATTATGTCGACGTGCCGGGCGGAGCACTTCGGGCAAGGATTTAGCAAGAAAACATGCGGTAACGAAGTGAAATCTGGTTTCTTAGCGTTATTAACAGCCGGTGGCTTAACGCAGGATGTCAGAGTGGTCGTGTATAGAACATCTCTTGAACATTTCGCTGTTATTTATCCAAGGAAGCGTGTCTCTAAGCCGACCGGTGTAGTCAATTTAAGGAACACGGCTGTAGAGCGACTCGAAACGAATAACGGATTCATTGTTCGACAAAAAGGTTACGATGATACAATATCAGCTAAGTTTTTGTGTTCCGAGAGGGATATAGAGTCATGGTTATCTGCGTTCTCGTCAGAATGCCTGCCGTCGTCTCAGCATCACACCAGTCTGCCTGTGTTACTTGAGACAGAGGAAAGTTAAACCGCCGTCCTCGTGCAAACGGTTTGTGAATCCCACGGTGCGAAATTCGTATGATGCGAATGTTTGTACTGCAATGAAAGTGAAAGCAAGTTTTTTTGCAAGTACGAAAGTGTTGCCTTGATTTTGAGCTTGGAGCTATGAAATTTGACTGACTGTAATGTTAGCTGTTCATCTTTTAAATAATATTCTAAATGAACCTTTGTCACATCTTAGTATGGTAGCATGTATAGTTACATTGTAATGATAAGCCTTTATTATAATACTGTTACTATTTATAAACTAGTTCTATATATCAACTGGTTAGTAATAAATTAATAATGATTCTTAAATAAATGCCTGATAGTGTTAATTCAGGAATTGGTGAAACTATTTCAGACTCATTAATGTTATTTATATTAATCTAACATTTCGACATAACCTGTTTAAATTATTTTAACACATTTTTTTGTTTAATAATTATTATCAATTAAAAATCTTAGTTAAAGAAAAACGCTCGACTTAAAATATATACTTTATATAAGTGATATAAAATATAAATATTTAAATTTAGAGAAGTTTTATTTGAACATGAATGCTTCGCTTTTTGGTACATTCGTCTTCTCAGAAGTAGTTTGTAGGTCACATAAGATTTTTTATGTAAGCCTAAACGAGAGCTTAAAGTGGAAGCTTAAACGTATTTGTAATTATACATATTCGTACTTATAAAAAATTATGTCAAGTTTTTTAAGAGTGGTCGAAACTCATTACCATTTTGTTTTTTGCCGTCTACTTATTAAATAAATTATTTTATTTTGATATCTTTTAATAACTTAAATAGTAAATATATAATGTACATATTATAGTATAGAAATGTTACTTACCTACCTGCAACATACTGTTGAACTTATATTGTTTTGTGAAACTGCTTAGTTTTTTATCTGCATTATCTTTTAAGTTTTTTTACATTTATTAGAAATCCCATCTTATATTTATACTTACATATAATAAAACTGTTGAGTAGTAGAATAAAATTAATAAACAAAAATGCTAAATATCAAATAGACACATTTTTATCTGTCTCAGTATAATTATGGGCATAAAAAGGACGTACTCAGGCGTACGGTTCAAGGGCAACTAATGTCAAAACTTATACATTAAATGTCGGAGTATGTAAATTAAATGAAGACATAAAATTTGTAAGCGACTTGGCGGGAATGTACTGTGTAAGTAGGATTCGGGATAAATGAATTATATATCGTAATATCTGAATAAAATATTCTAATAATGGTCGGGGTCAATGGACAATTGATATTATTTATGAATCACGAACAATTTACGTATTAACCAGAAATATATAATGTTACGGTATTAATTACAAAAGGTATAATGTTTTTTGGTGATTTCTATGTGTCTTTTCATGTAGGTATTGGATGTATTTTGATGTGTTAACCAGATTATGAGTTTTTTTCATAGTGTGTCTGTTCTATCAAGATCAAAGAAGTAATCTGTTGTAGTAGCCAATAATCCTTACTTAATAACCTTACCAATTAAACTTGAATTTTTAATTTTTATATGCATATTGTAAGTTGCAAAATTTATAGCATTATTTATGCAAACTGATGCTTCTTTAAACAAAGATTCTATTGTAAAAACGAAAGAATTTTCATTACATTCTTAAATCTTTGTTACAATGGTAAATATTTTGCAACTAGAGTATCATCTTTAGTTTAATGAATCGTTTGGTATTTAGTAAATGAAGATCAGATGCTAAAAAGATAAAATATGTACAAAAAGTACTAAAATGTGTTATAAAACTTTGTAGGATTTTATAGAGTAAAACATAACAAGTTATATCACTTATTGTTATTTAGAATGCAGCAATTGTTTTACGATTACGTAAGAATAGATTTTTTATGTAAACTAGATATTTTCCTTACAAATATTCATAATATTCTAATTAATTTACAACATTTTGTTATTTTACACTTAATTGCAACAAAGTCATCACTTATTTTATTAGTGTAATACATTGTGGATTGAATCATTTAAATATCGACATATGTAAATGTTATGTGGGTGATTAAAGACCAAAAGCCAATGAATTGGTAATATACTACGGGAATATAAATTTCATCATTAAATTACTTTGTTGATAATTTTTTGTTAGTAACATTTTAAATTACATCAACGAAGTAATTCGTGATATAGTGTAAAGTTTACTATGTAATTATTATTTTGTTTCGATCTACGAAAATTTCCAAATTATTGTCATATAATGCGTAATATTTCATAAATTGATTTAAGTAAATAATCTATGGCATTCTACAATGATTTTTATCATTCCAATATATGAATAATGAAATTCATACTTTGTTTTTATTTTTGTTATACAATTAGTGTTTCTGTATTGTATAATATAAAGAACATTTTGATTATCAATAAAATAATTTATTCAGAAGTTATTTTTGTATCACCCATTACTGTACACATTGTAACATAATTTCAATACCTGTTTCTCTCTAAAGGAATGAAAAAAGTGAGTTTACTGAGTAAGAAAGGAGATAAAAATAGTTACATACATGTAAACGAAAATATTTTTTTTTAGGTACTTTGTTATTTTGCTGTAGATATAAATAAAATCATGATGTTTTGTTGAATTTTATTTATTTTCTTACAATTAGAATAATTATATTACAATATTTTTCGTCGATATAAGATCGGAATGTCACATATCTATGTATTTCTTTAACATAAAGTCAATTTTATATAACATTTTTATCCTTCATAAAATAGTTTGAAACAGCAGACGGTCAACCTTATGAAAATGCGTCCTTTATGTACTTCTTCTTCTTCCTGGCAATTTCCCAGTTTTAGCCAGGGTCTGCCTCAGGGTCAGCGTCCTATATGTACTTATGCACCTCTATGCTAAGTATAAGTTTCATCGTCACACAAGCGTTTCTCGTTTTTAATTCAAAACGTTAATTATTATTGCCTATTATTATTTATACATTATAGTCATGCGAATTGTGTATGTTGTGACGATGTGAACTTAGGTGAAGCGTACATGTGAGTTATCTTCGAGTATTAAGGGTTTGAATAGATTTAGGGTTCCAGTGTTCTCGATCATTGTGTGAAATGTCTATAATAAATAACTATTACTTATAGCTAGAAATTCTATTAATTACATTGTTTTGTAGAGAATCGGACTGCCGTAAAGCAGTCATACGGGTTTTATCTAATAGACTAAAACTAAATTATTAAATACACAGATTTTATCTTCAATAGTCAAGTTGTTACCGTGTTAATGGACACCGATATACATTATGTAGTCAGTTCTTCCCTGTTAATATTATTAAAACGGAAATAATTATACAAAATGATTTATATACTTTTATTAGGATTCAACGAATTAAAAATAAATACACTACAGTATATAATTAATATTTGTTACGTTTTTTAAAACACGAGGATACCTCTCATTCAATCGACTCACTGTGCGGGCGCCGGGTCCATCGCGTTGCAGGAAGAGGAGTTTCATCAGTGTCTGGGACTTGCGACCCAGGTGTAGGTTTAAGGGGCCCCTATATAACGTACGTCAAACGCTCACTTCCACTGTCCAAGCTCCTCTCTATACCCAAATTTGTAACAAACTTGCTAAGGCCGTCTTCGAAGTACGTTCAAAGAATGAACTTATGTTAGTTCTGGAGGGGTCCAAGACTTTTAGTGGGTTGTATGGAGATTTGTAGATGGCACAAATTTAAGACGAACCTATTCTAAATGAGTTCTTAGTGAGCTCGTAATACTTATCGACCTTGAGGGTATGCTCTTTGGGGATGTTGGTCCCAAGGAACAATAAGCTCTATTATAACAACATTAAAATTCGCGAATACAGAAACGCGTCTGGTCTGGACGCCTACGTCCGGTCGAGATTTTATATTGTTTCTCATACGTATTATTATAGTTGAAACTGGAACCGCTTTAATGATAGAGTAAGGCTTCACGTTTCATTATATAGCACTATTGCATTATCTCCCAAAACCTACTGATAGATCGTTTGTGGTTATTTCTTTTTAGATTAACAGCTTCATGTACGATTTCTAATCCTTATCGTGGCACCACGAGTATTGACAGCTATCCAGGAGTACCCATCCCACCAGCCAATGCAATTAGCATTTCCAATTTCCTCTCCGTAGATATTGTAAGTTTTTTTGGTATCTCTACCCCATCTTACTAAATTATTCTAATCTGGCAGTTATTTGGAATGCGTTGAGATAAAATTTTAGCAGTGTAGGCGGATAATAATTATAAAATATAATAATATTTGCAATATTACTTTCCAATGTTACAAATGTTACTGAAGACGTTGATTGATTTCGATAATAATTGATCTTAATTTTCCAAGGTTTATAAAATAAAAGGAACAATTTGTTCTACATTTTATTCAAATATAAAAATATTAAATACTCCAATTTACAGAACAGTTATTTAAATTATTGACCTTAATTCAACTTTAAAGATGAATATTAATTGTTTTTTTAATCACCTATACATGACAGTTAATGTAAATAAGTTGGGTCTTTCTAAATGTAATTAAGATAATTATTGTTGTTAAGTTTAATAAAAGAACATCTAAAATTAATAATTTCAAAGAGGTGATTTATAGGAATGATAAAAATCTGAAAATGGAGCAGGTATCGATTTCTTTCTCTCATAGGACATGGCTTCCCAATCAGGTTAAATATCAACCTATCTAAAAAATAAACAATTTCATTAATTATAATAATTAATTATGGATATTAACATTGTCTATTAATTATAAACGAAGTTATAGGAATTGCTTTAGAAATATTTTTATTAATTAGTAGGTAGTTAATATTTTTGACAACACGGATTTGTTACTTAGCCAAAATCCTCAAAATAACATTAAAATTTGAGTTTTCAGTTTTCGTCATTAATCAATATACATATTTGTGTCTTATGCAATACACCTTAAAATCTTTAGTATTTAAATGGATATTCAACCTATTCTAAACACTCTGACCGTGTTTATATGAAAATAAAAAAATATGATATTATTTTTGTCGTAAATATACGAGTATGTAAGCGACGCAGTAATTACTCAGCATTTGTTAAAACAAACAAATCAATTAAGGAAATGAAAAGCATATTTTTTAAGTTATTTTAACTTCCTTTTATTACTGTACAGTTGACGCTAACTGCCAATTAGTTAACAATAAAAATAACACAGTCATGAAACACGAAGCTAACGGGAAGCAAATGTACACAAAAATGTCACGTTTTAAACTAATCATGATAATTCTTATATTATTTTCGATATCGCTTCTTGTGATTTCGTTTCAACCGTTGACAAAGGAGGAACAAATTGATAGATATAATAAAATGAATGAAGAAGTAGAGCCGTTCAGACAAAATTTGACAGAATGCGCTCGTCAAGTAAAAGCATCTATGATAGACGTGGAGCATTTCTTAAAACGCATTCCTCAATCGTCGATGCAGGGCAAATGTTTCGTGGCTTGCATACTTAAACGGAATGCTATTATAGTAAACAATAAAATCTCCAGAGATAATCTTTTGGAGGCTAATCGAGCTGTCTACGGCGAAGATAGTGAAGTAATGACGAGACTGAACACCGCTATAGTTGAATGCAGCGACGTTGTTGAAGGTATATTCGAAGTTTGTGAATATTCGTCAGTTTTTAACGACTGCATGCACATGAAGATGGAACATATATTGGATAAAGTGACGATGGAGAGAAGGATGGAGGCGTTGGGTCAGATGACGTCAGATCCTGATGTTTGGAGCGACCAGGACGATGAAATACTTAAGCTAATTAAGGACGAGTTGTGAAAATATAATTTTAGTTACGAGAAATTGTATAGACAATACAGTAAAGAATTATGTCATACATAAATAAATTATCTCCGCAAATAGGAATATTAATTAAAATATCTTTTAACGTAGTTAAAAAGACTATTATGTTAAATTTTAATACGAAATTTTAAAAAAGATACATCAATAAATGTAGATTTTTGTTTAAAGTGATTCTTTGAAACGCTCTACTGTAAAATTACAGTTTTGGAGATACAACAACTTACGTGGGAGGTTTGAAATAATGATTTTTAACACAATAGTTTATATTAATCGTCTTTTTAGTAAAAAAACATTTTGTATATTATCACAAAATATTTGTTTTTATCGATTAATACAACAGTCATGACTATTTTATTCATCGCATTCAAAATATAGTTACATCGGTCCAGGTGACGGAGTCATTGAATGTCACTGATTCGGCTCCTAGTGTTGTTCCCAGGTATTTTATAGAATTAAACAATACTCTTCTAGGTTGCCGTTTTTGTATGTGCGTATCAAATTTCAAATTTTTATATATTTATTTGTATGATTATTAAAGTCTATAACTTTTTCTCCAGCTGATATACTACATTCAATATTTAATTGATTGTTATTCATTTCAAATACAGCACATTTGACATTAGCTTCAGACAAATTATTATCCGTTCAAAGGCAAAAGAATAAGCCAGAATCAATCAATTATATATTTAATAATATTATGTCATATTAATCAATCTAAAAAGCATTATAAAATAGCATTGTTTTTAGTGTATGAGCAAAAAAAGTTCCCGTACATTTAAAGGGAGACTTTGAAGACCCTGAAGACAAGAACCAGATCCAGATTACGTCGAAGGAAATGCATAAAGTTTATCACGTCTTCATCTTCAACTTCTTTTAATCCTAACAAAAGAGCATGCTCCAAATGCCGATTATATTCATTGTGCTGAGCACTCTTTACACTTAGTTTTAAACGATGCTGCGAGACATGTTCGTGAAGTATCGACATTTTACGATAATTTAGAAAAATTATATACTTTTTTTGCCATGGGATAAAACGCAGAGCTATACTAAGTGTCAATTCATCTGAAAAATATTTGATTACTCTTAAAAAGGTATGTCCTACCAGATAGTCTTCTAGGAACGACGCTTTATTAGCGGTAAAAAAAATATTACTAATCATAAAAAAATTGTACCAACTAAATTTAATTTCAAATAAATTGAGCCTATTTATTTATTTATTCTGTTATTCAGCCCTGATACGTAGCATTTTAGAATATTGTAGTGTCGTATGGAGTCCTCACTTCAATATTTATTCACAAAGAATAGAAAGGATTCACAAACGATTTCTTTGGCATTTGTGGTTTGATCTTAACCTAGTCAATACCCTTAGGACATACGAAGATAGGCTCAAATTCTTTAAACTACATTCACTTTCGGATCGAAGTTCGACAATTCTATGATCTCACTTTCCTAAATAAATTGGTGAATGGTGTCATTGACAGTCCCTGTTTATTAAAACAATTAAATATTCGTGCACCGGTGAGGACGTTCAGACCGTCATCTTACGAGTATACTCCATTTCTAGAAAAACCTGCACGCTCAAATCAAGGACGCTACTCTCCAATGAATAGATTACTGTTAAGTTACAATGCTATCTATAAATTAACAAAAAATCATTGTACTACTTCATCCACTATAGACCAGTGCCGATAGCTTTTAAAACATAATTAAATTATAGTAGAATGAAACTCATTAGTTTTAGCAGCTTAATGTCAATTTTCTGTTAATTACCTATAAGAGGGACTCTCTGGAGAACTTCCAGAGTACATAACTATAAAAAATAAATTAGAAAGAGCATTTTCACACCGATGTCGAGTGTCATTTCATAAAAAGGGACATGATTATTTTATCCATAAATGGTACTGGAAGTAATAAACTTATATTTATTTCTTCACCATCGGAAAATAGAGATTTCAACGAACAGAAAACACACCAAATTTTTGAAACACGCTGATATTTTGACGGGTGATTTTTCGATTGAAAATGAGGCTGACTTTTCGGTATTTATTCAAAATAAGCTGAAAAAATAAACATTTCCAATCAAATAAATTACGCTGCATTAATAACATCAAAAGGAAAGTTTTCACCAAATTTCGTGACAAAAAATTGTTTTTCGTAAGAGATAAAAATAAAAAACCAAAAACTCGGTTTTTCGAATTTATCACATAAATTTTGAGGTAATGTGAAAAAAATGTTAGTACAAAAGTTTTAGATTTTTTTATTACCTACAAATTTGCTATATAACATTTTTCCGTAGGACTTTGTTTTGCCGGAAATCGAGAAAACCCATTTTTTACCCTTAAATACCCATCCATACCCTTCCCGACCTCAGATCGCCCGTAAATTATTTTTCCTTTAATTTTTATAATATTCCCTTCCTTTTCTAATGTGTTTCATTCTACTTTAATTTATTTTTACTTTTCCTTGTTTTTAAAGGCATCTGCACTGGCCTACTATTGATAAAAAGCAATTAGATAGAAAGTTGGATATTGACATATTTTATAATAGCCTTGTGAAATTTAAATGTAATTTAATAAATTTTTATTCATTATATAGTTATAATTTAAAGTAATCTAATACGGTTGTGTTGTATTGACTGATTCATTTGTTATTGCTTTAATCGGTGAACCTTATTACATGATTGAATAAGTGATTTGTTTTATATTTCATTTTACTAGATATTGAAGTACAAAATTATAAATATTTTAAATATATTTTGTATAATACACTATTAATTATTATTTTAATGTTTATGTTGATGATTATTAGTATTTTTTTCTAATTTTCCTTTGCGCAATTAATGTAATGTAATTTTATCTGCATGTTACGTGTCTATTTTTCTTTGAAATGTGTGTAACACCTATAATTAAGACAACATTTTGATTTTATGATTACTTGTTAAATATTGTATTTTTCGCTTTAATTAATGTATGTCTTGTTGGTGTTAATAAATAAATAAAAAAATAATAAAATAAATAAAATAACATAAAATGATGAACGTGAAAAATAAAAATGTATGTAATTAATGTTTTAGAGATTTATGATTTCTTAGTGCTCGTTACATTTTTTTCTTCAGTATTTGAAATTATTAATCTAGTTTCTAAAGCTCTACAGCATGAAAATAATGACTTACAGAAATGTAGTATTTTATTAAGTAATCTTTTAAATACACTGTGTCAATTAAGAAATCAGAATTCATTTAAAAATTTGTTGTATGAGTCCAAAGATATAGCAAAAGTGTGGGGGGTAACAACTGTATTTAAAAACAGTAGGCGAAAGATAATTAAGTGTTTTTTTTTTATTAGTTATAACAAAATGAGAGAATTTCCGGCCTTTAATAAAACAGAGCTAAGTCTGTTATTTGAGCTACTTGGGCAGCTGATGGAAAAACACAAATTCGTCCAAAAAATATTTATAATTGCGATGAAACCGGTATTTCAACAGTTCAAACACCGGGAAAAATTTTAACTGCAAAAGGACAGAAGAGAGTAGGATCTATTACCAGTTGGGAGAGAGGAAAAAACATTACCTTGTTGTGTGCTATGAGCAGTGCTGGGGGTACATTCCACCTATGTTTATCTTCCCTAGAAAAAGGATGACTCCACTACTTGAGAAGGATGGTCCAGCAGGCGCGCTTTACAAATGTTCAGACAACGGATGGATCAACGAGCACCTCTTTCTTGAATGGTTGGCGCATTTTAAACAGCACGCTAAACCGTCTGCAGATGAACCCATCCTTTTAATACTATACAACCATGCTAGTCACATTTCTCTTTCCGTCTACGAATATTGCAAGTCCAATCACATTCATATGTTGTCTCTGCCACCACACACGTCTCATAGAATGCAGCCTCTTGACGTTTCTTTTTTTGGCCCACTCAAAAAAGAATGTGACTTGTTTTTGAAAAGCCATCTAGCAAAAAAGATAACACCTTACGACGTAGCGTCCTTGGTGAGGAAAGCATTTAATAATGTTGCTTCTATTAGTAAAGGAGAATCGGGGTTTAGATCAACTGGAATATTTCCACTAAATCCGGAGGTATTTACAGAAGAAGATTTTCTCGCTGCAGAAACTCTCCAATCTGAGACCGTTGTAATCGAAGACTGCAATGAATCTCTCGCAGCTGCCTGTGTGATTCCCAGTACATCAAAAGAAGACTCACCAGTTCCGAGCACGTCAACACAAATTGTTTCACTAGATCTTATGATGTCTAACCAAGAAGTCCCACTTGATTCTGAGTCAGATGTTGTACCACTAGTTCCTGGCACGCCTAATGAATCTAGTGTATTGCATGATTTAATAAAAATGCCCGAGAAAGCATCTGTTATTAAAACAAGACAGGGCCGAAAGAAGCAACACGCTACAATTTTAACTTCAACGCCACAAGCTAACACCACACGCTAACCTACCTATTCAGTTCGTAAATTATTTACTGATGAACAAGAAATAAATATTGTCGATTACATTGTTAAGTGCAGTCAAATGTTCTACGGACTTACCATCACAGATGTTCGAGGATTGATTTACGAAGTAGCGATGTTAAATATCATAAAAGTACCAGATAAATGGCATGAGACTAAGCCCGCAGGTGTCGAGTATCTATATAATCTCAGAAAAAAGATAATTAATTATCGTTGCGGACTCCAGAGGGTTGCAGTTTGAGCAGAGCAACGTCTTTCACTCGCCATAATGTTGGTTTGTTCTTCGATAATTTAGAAAATATCATAAAAGACTGTCTTACTAGAACAAATAGAAATATTATAATAATAATATGAAAATTGATGTTTTTTTTTTAAATATTTCTTTGCAACTGATCCTGAGTGCCCCAGCCGATTCACTCTAAACCGTGCAGTGATCCGAAGTGATTCGTTCGCGGATCACAGTAGATCATTTCTAATTTTTTTTAATGTGCCTATACTTTGTAAATTTGTATAACACATAGATCCGGTGCTAGAAATATAATATATTTGTAGAAAATAAAGTAAATAAAATAAAATAGTTAACAAAACAATACGAATGGAGATATGTATCCATCGATAATAATCCAGCAGATTTAATTTCTAGGGGTGTAAATCAATATAATAGTAAATTACCAAAAAGGCCCTATGTTTTTAAAAGATAATTTAGGATGATGGCCCCCTTAAATAATAGAGGAATTACCGTATACATTTACAGATGAAAGTGACACAGTACAAGTAAACTTTGTAAGAAACATTAAAAATAACAAATAAATCATTTGGGGTCGATATTCTACTTTAAATAAATTAAAAAGAGTACATACATTTTCCGGTTTATTAAAAATTGTCAAAGAAAAAAATCTAAATTAATTGGTGAGTTAAATGTCGATGGATAACAAAATAACATAATAATGTTAGTAAAATTGTCACAAAGAGAAAGTTATAATTTTGAGTTACAATTATTACAGTCTGGAAAGTCATTGCCTGATAAATCATATACATATTTTATCATTAAATTCATTTTTAGACAAATTAAATATAATAAGAGTAGGTGGTAGAATACATAACTCCTCTTACCCATATGAAAAAAACATCCTATTTTGTTAGACTCGAGGCATCGCTTATGAAAATTATTGTTTTAAGCAGAGCATAAAGGATTGCTTCATGCCGGACCACAGCTGTTTCTAGCATTAATCAGAGAAAGGTATTGGGTTGTTAATTCCAGGCAACTATTTTTGTCTTTGATATGCCTGTCTATTATTCTTTATAAATGAAAAATGGTGTGCTTTGTAAAAGTGTAATCCTTAATAAAAATTGATCATGAACATATAAAACAAGTGTTATTCTTCATATTAAGATAGTAGCAGTGCGCGGTTAAAGATGGATAAATGATAAAAGTAGAAAAGTGGAAAAAAGAATAGAACGAAAGTAATCTAAGAAAAATAACAAAAGACTATCCACGAAAAAAAACAACAAAAGAATAACCACGTAAAATGGCGGCGAAAAATAGCGATGTTCAGACTATAGTAATTGGAAAATACGAATTCTCAATTTCCTAGAGTTTAAAAAGTGTAAAGATGTTATATTGCGAGCTAAAACGAGTGCCGACAATGATACCTGGCTCAATCGTGATATTCAACCTACCAACTATATTTACAGTTCAATAACGAACAGACAATTAGAATACGTGGGTGAATTACAGACGGCATACGAAATAATTAAAAAAATTGACGAAATGTATCTAAAAAAGTCAACGGCCTTACAAATTATATGCCGTCACCATTTAGAAAATGTGAAATTAAAGAATTATACTGATGTGTCAATGTTTTTCGACGATTTTGAAAAGATTGTCAGTGAATTTTACACCGTTTTCATTTTAATTGTCAATGAATTTTACATTGTACATCGCGTCGAATGATTAAAGAAAAGTTTTGGTGGCCAAATATGAACAGAGATATAAATGTATGGACAAAAACATATATAAACTGTCAAAAATCTAAAATACATAGGCATACAATATCTAGACACGGTACATATCCGCAAGTTGGTAGGTTCGAACACATACACATCGATTTTGTTGGTCCACTTCCGATAACAGATGAGGATTACAGGTACTGCTTAACGATAATTGATAGAGGTACAGGTTGGCCAGAGGCATATGCTTTAAAGGATATTTGATACAGTAGCGAGCTTTATATATAAAGAATGGATATGTAGATTTGGCTGTCCTGTTAAACTAACCAGTGACCACGGCAGGCAATTTGAGAGCAATTTATTTAATAAACTAATGACGTATTTAGGTATACAAAAAATTCGTCTGCATCTGCGAGGCCCAACGTCAGAATGGACGCGGCCTCTGCCTCTGAGGAGGAGCCTTGCCCTGGCCCCTCATATAGAAATGTGTTGGTCGGAACGACTAGGAGCTCCTCTACAAGCCCTAGGCCCACCATAAACTCCCTGGACCGGCAGGAACTCAGGTCCCTTGCTAATCAGTGCGTTGTTCGACTGTTTAACGTCGCGAAAACATCGAACAACCTCAAGGAGCCCCAAGGGGCCCTATGTCAGGGAAATCAAGGACGCCGCCCAAACTATGAGCGACATAGTGGAGATGCTCGCCAATCGGACGGCCTCAGAGGAGTTTCGACGCTTGTGGGCAAATAATGCTCGTCTCGAGAACGAGAACGAGCACCTGAGGACCGAACTCAGGGCCCTCAGGAGGGACTTTTCAGAAAGGAAGAAGCCCGTGAGCCTGTGAGCCCGCGCCGGCGACAGAGCCTCCCCTCGGCATCTCCGATATGCTGGGAGAGCTGCAGCGGGCATTGACTCTCACCATGGGTGAGATAATCAATGTTCGCATCGCTGGCCTAGAGGACCGACTCCTTCCGGCGAAGAGGGTCCGTCCGCCACTACAGGCGGACTCAAGGAGAGAGGCGGAACCGGTGGCCTGGCCCTCCAAACCAGCCGCAGCCCAAGCGGCGAAGAAGGCGCCTTCATTTCAAGCAATTTGCTTGAAAACGATGCTCATTGGGACACAACAATCGGTGAAACAATTGTTTCTGCATCTCCAAATCAGATAAGCACATTATTTGCTATCATAATTTCGACATGCTTCCCATCGAACCCACGTGACTTGAGGAACAAATACAAAGATAACATGTTAGAAAATACTTTAAATCGAATTCGTGTCAGCACAAGAAATCCCGATATTGAGGCGAATGAGTCGATGCATAACCAGGCTTTGCTCTTAATCAAATATATGTGCTACCTCAATTGCGGCAGTTTGTTAGTCATGTTAGGAATGCCAGCGCCCGTTCGCGGAATGAATGACACATTTAATAGAGAATTGGAACGTGATCGTGAATATGATCCACATGAATTAGTACAATCAGTTCGCACGAATGTGCATCTGTTGAATTCTGAACAGAGAGAAGTCTATAACACATTGATTAATGCAATTGATGATGGGAATGGTCTCTTATTTTTCTGGATGCCCCTGGCGGAATTGGAAAGAAATTCGTCCATTCTGACGTCGGGCCTGAAAAATGTCATTGATTTTGGCCACTATGCGTGCAAGATCAGAAATTGCGGTGGCAGTTGCTTCTTCTGGAATAGGGCCATATTGTTAGTCGGATGCCGTACGGCTCACTTAGCGTTAAATTGCCACTAAACCTTCAAACTACTGAACAACCGACATGTAACTTTTCGAAACACTCCGCAATGGCCCAAGTTTTTAGTAGCATCAAAATTCATAATATGGGACGGATGCACAATGGCGCACAAACGCGCATTGGGAGCTCTAGACCGAACATTAAAAGATCTACGTAATGACTCGAGACGTTTTGGTGGTGCAATGATTTTACTATCTGGCGATTTCCGACAAACACTACCAGTCATTCCAAGATCTACTGATGCTGAGGAAATCAACGCTTGCCTCAAATACTAAATGGCTAAGTGAGCAAGCAATTTTGGCGGCTAAAAATAAAGGTGTAGATGACCTAAATGTTATAATTCAGAATCAAATCGTAGATACTCTGTATTCTTTCAAATCTATCGACTGTGTAACAAACGAAGATGTAGCCACTAATTATCTAACTGAATTTTTAAACTCCTTGGAAATGCCTGGTTTACCACCGCACAGTTTGCAACTGAAGGTTAGTTTGGTAGTCATCATGCTTAGAAATTTCAACTAACTACGAGGGGAGGTCAAAAAGTTCGCGGAATGGAGGGGATGGAGGGGGTTGATTTACTCGTCCAGGTAGTAACTTGTTCAACACCTCATTAATAGTATATATACCAAGTTTGAACCAAATCGGGTCATTAACTTTTGAGTTGTTGACCTGCAAACAAGTGAATCGGGAAGAAGTCAGTGAGTATGGAGAAAATTGAACACCGCGCCGTTATTAAGTTCCTCACCAAGCAAGGAAAATCCGCTCAGATAATTTTTGAAGAGCTGTTATCAGTTTACGCGGACTCTGCCCCTGGTAAAACCATGGTTTACAAGTGGCATGGACTTTTTAAACAAGGAAGAGAGTCCATTGAAGATGACGCCCGCTCCGGACGACCGATTGAGGCCACCACACCGAAAATCGTCGCAAAAGTAGAAAAACTTATATTTGAAGATGCCTGGTTGAAGAAAAAAAACGGCTTGGAGCAATGGTTAGAGTATCTGAAAAAGCATTTTTAATATCCTACATCATCATCTTGGGATGACTAAGGTCAGTGCAAGATGGCTTCCAAGAATGCTCACGCCACTTCAAAAGAGCGATCGTGTCGAGTGTTCTCGCCAGTTTTTGAAGCTCTGTGGAGAGAATAAGGACGAAGTTATGGACCGGATTTTTACTGGTGACGAAACCTAGGTTCACCACTATGAACCTGAATCGAAGCAAGAATCGATACAGTGGCATAAAAAAGGCACAGCTCCTCCAAAGAAGTTTAAAGTGTCACAATCGGCCAGAAAGATCATGGCGACTGTCTTTTGGAATACAGAAGGTATTTTGCTGATCAATTATAAAGATCGTGGTGTGACTATAACGGGACAGTACTACGCTTCTTTATTAGATAGATTGAAAGAAGCTATCAAGGAAAAAAGAAGAGGAAATCTGTCAAAAGGTGTGCTCCTTTTGCACGACAACGCAACAGTCCACACGTGCCATGTTGCGACGGCTGCCATTCACCGATGCGGACTCGAAAAACTACACCACCCACCTTACAGTCTAGACTTAGTCCCCAGCGACTATTATTTGTTTTCAAAAATGAAAAAAAAGCTGCGGTGAAAAATATTTGAGAAGTCAAGTCCGCAATTTCGGCCTATTTTGATAGCCAAGATAAATAATTTTTTTCGAATGTATTAATAAATTATTTGTGAGATCCGAAAAATGTATTAAGGTTAAGGGAGACTATATTGAAAAGGAAAAATAGTTTCGTGTTAAATTTCAACCCCCTTCCCGCTCATTCCGCGAACTTATTGACCTCCCCTCGTAAAACTGCAATGGAACACGTTTGGTGATAAGAAAACTGATGAGCAATGTGATTAATGCGTTAATACTCAAAGGAAATTTTTATTCCAAGGATTCCGATGATCCCAACGGATATGCCCTTTGAATTTAAACGAATTCAATTTCCGATTCGTCTTGCCTTCGCCATGACGATTAACAAATCACAGGGCTTGACTATATGTGGCCTCAATCTAGAAAATCCATGTTTTTCTCATGGTCAATTGTACGTGGTACGTTCACGTGTCGGTAAACAAAAAATGTCGTTTACCACAAGGTGCTTAAATGAATAGAATTAATCCGAGTGCATCACATGCTAATTAATTTTAATTTAATCTTTTTAAATAAAAAAATAACATGCTCTGCAAATAAGTCTTTTGGAATTGGTTTTTGGCCAGAGTTATAATAACAAAATACCTACATAATTCATTTACCATTTCTCGGTGTACTTATCACATTGGTTTCTCTACAGGATATTTTGTATTGTGTGTTTTTTCTAAAGAATTTGTTCAACAGGGTAAGTCAAATTATTACAGTGTTAGAAAGTTTTGATACTATTACAAAAGAATAGGTCCTTAGTCCTTAGTATTTTTTATTTTCAGAAGAAATTTTGTTCCAAAAAATGACTGTGATAGAAATTCAACTGCTCGAGCGGTTGGTAGCGACAGCTCGAGCAGTCAACATTGTTGAACAGCTGAACATATAAAACAACGAGTGTTTTTGAAAACTCTTACTGAGACATATGGGTATGGATAGTTGTTTAATAAAAATTCAACAATAATTGTTAAGAACCTAACATTTTCATACACTTATAATTTAATTTGTTTAATAAATATACTGAATTAAAAACTGTGTAAATAATTTCTGAGCCGACTGTATATTTTAAGATTGATTGATATTTTTTAAAATATCGATATATCGAGAATACGATATTTTATAAAATACTAACAGTCCTAGTCAACAACCTTTTTTAAAGGCAATAATAGAAGATAGACCCGACAAAACAAATAGTTTACAAGAAAGTGAGCTCACTGAAATTACGTCCGAAGAAACCGAAAATCGTCAAAATAAAATACCCAGAGAAAGAAACAAAAGAAAATTAACTAGTAAAATCACAGATGAGAACGTCTTAATTGAAAAATTATCCAAACGTTTCGATGAAAAATCGCAGAATTCGCGCATTGATAATGAAGATGAAGATAAATTGTTTTTATTATCATTAGTTGGCGAATTCAAAAAAATTAATGAGCATTATAAATTAGATGCTAAGACCGAAATACTTAACGTAGTGAAATACTTTAAAGGGATGACAAATCACACATATCCTTCGAGTTATGGTGACAGGGGATATTCATCGTTTAATGATTATCGTGGACCATGGGGTTATAATACTGGCCCCTCTACCTCTACATCAGTGCCTGGCCCCTCTAGATCAGCAATCGGCCCCTCTACATCAATGGCTGATGACCAAAATTCTCAATTTGAAGACCTTTCAATGAGGATGACGAATTCAATGACGATTCTGTGTCACATTTAAAGTCAGTATTAAAAAAGGTCTGGTCGCTGATTTTTTTTGCAATTAATGTAAAGCAAAATTTAGAAACTCGTGTTACAGTATTAAGTCAAAGAAATTATTTGGAAAATGTACCTACTTAAGAGATTCAATATGTATGAATATAAAGATATTATACATCAAGTAATTCAGATCTGTACACAAGTAATAAAAATGCTTAAGCTTAGTTCAGAAACACAAAGTCAAAGTCAAAAGGTCCAAGATGTTTTAACTGTAACAAATATGGACACCTTGGTAAAAATTGTTGGTTTCTAAAAAATAAATCACAGAGTAAAGAAAATAACAAAGGTTTTGTGGCAGCTTTCTCGTCTATGCAACTGAATGATTGTTTGAACTGGTATGTAGATTCAAGTGGTTCGATGCATATGACAATGCATAAAGATTTATTAGAGAATGAAACAATACCACCGATTTCCACAAACAAATTGCGGACAATAAAACTTTAAAAGTCAAAAGCTGTGGCGATGTGATACTGCACATACCTAATAAAGATGGCAGCAGCAGTGAAATACTAGTAAGGAATGTTCTACATATACATATTATGTGCCAAAGTTGTCTACACATTTACTATCTATTAGTAAAATAACAAAATCTGGTTGTAAAGTGGAATTTGATAAAACTGGCTGCTCAGTATATAATTCAAATAATCAAAAAGTAGCCACAGATAATCTAATTTAGACTGGATATAAATTACAGTAAAATATTTGCCATGTCAGCAAAAGCAGAGTCAATTACACATCTATTACATCAACGTTTGGGCCATCTAAACTATAATGATGTTCACAATATACTTAATTGCACAACTTGTGTAAAACTATCATCACAGAAAGAAAAGTATATATGTATAAGCTGCCTAGAGAGCAAGCAAACATTTTCAAGCAATGGCTCCAGGAAAAATGGGTTGCTAGAGCTAGTCCACACCCCTCCCCCATCCGGGAGGGCGTGAGGGGTCTGCCAAAAGGTGGGCAAAGGCAAAGGAAAAGGCAAAGGCAAAGGAAAAGGCAAAGGCAAAGGAATTGGCCGCAGAGCTAGAAATTGAACCCGTCTTTCAAGCTAGAAGAAGAATTCGACATGTGAAACGTCAAGTTGGTGAAATTGCACGTGATGACCCTATAACTTCTCCAGAAACTTTGCTGAAACTTTGCTGAAGAATACAAAATGGTGCACTTCTAATGGAAATTGACAAATTGATTAATATAATGATTGCTTTGCAAGATCTACCCTTCAATTATGTGGAAGGTATAGGAATTCGGCGATTTACGCAGTTCACTGTGCCGAATTATCACTTAAGGAGAAGACATTTTTTAATGAAAATATTTGTGGTCATTTATGAAACATTAGCAAAAAAATAAAGGAATTGCTCACACAATTTGAAAAGATCTCATTTATCACAGACATTTGGACCGAGTTTGACCAAGTTCGAATGTGTCTTTATTGAGTCTGACGGCGCATGGCATAAATAGAGTTTAAAAGGCTAAAATTTATTTTAAAATGCCACACATTTGACAGAAGACATACAGGAAACTTAGTTCTAGAAAAAATTGCGAGTATGTTGATGGAATGGGGCGTCATAAAAGAGAAAATTCATTGTTTTGTTTAGAAAATATATATACAGTCCCTGGCCAAATTATTAGACGCATTGTATTGTTTTTAATTATTTCATGTTTCTTAAATGTTTTTATGCAGTAATTGTGTATTTAAACTACAGTATTATTGATTTTTATTTAAAAGATTTGTTGTAGACTATCTATTTTTATTTATTTTTAGCATATGGGAACTTTGTGTTGTTAAAGGGATACATGAACGTAAATAAGTATAAGCCTGTTTCAGACGCGATCGCAATTTCGTCAGGTTTGGATGTGTTTCTCAGTTTCTCTTTCGGGGTTTATAGACTGTGATTGTTTGTTTAACAGTTTTTTACTGTTCAGTTATTAGTTTATTTTGTATTCAGTGTTTTAAAATAAACATTGGACTATTTTCATTAGGGGTAAAAAGGGCGATCTTTCACCGCGTAAAAAAGCTGAAGTAAAGGCTCTTTTAAATGCGAAAACATTTTCGAACCGGGAAATATCACGAAGATTGAAAGTTTCTGAAGCTAGTGTACGACGCATAAAAAAAGTAATTGAGTCGGGGGAGAAATTAAGCCCGAAAAGAAAGAAAAAATGTGGTAGAAAACCAATTTTCACTCCTCGGTCAGAGAGATGTTTGAAGAAAATTTGTCTAGAAAACAGATTTGCTACCACAAAGGTAATAAAATCAGAACTCCAGGTTGCTAGCGTAAATGCTTCTGAATGGACTATTCGAAGAAAATTGAAAGAATTAGATTTTAAAGCCTGTCGCCCCGCCAAGAAGCCCAAGTTAACAGCTGCTATGAAAACAAAACGACTGAAGTGGGCCAAGCAATGGCAAGACAAAGATGTGAACTTCTGGAGATCGGTAAGATAATGTGATTTAATAAAAAAATATAGATTATTATTATTTTCAATAAAATAAAGCAAACGAACCTGGATATTTATATATTTTTTCTATTTTTGACAGGTCTGCTTCAGTGACGAAAGCACATTCGAAATTTTACAGAATAAAGCTCAGTATGTGCGTCGTCATCCAGGAAAAAAGTTTCGTCCTGACTTCTTCGTTACAACAGTTAAACATCCCACCAAAGTGATGATTTGGTCAGTCATCAGTGGCAAGGGCACTGGACGTCTGTACGTCGTGAAAGGAATAATGAGGCAAGACCAGTACAAAGATGTTTTAGAAAATCGGTTGATTCCGCAGCTCAGATAATGGTTTCCAAATGGGGAACCATCCATTTTCATGCAAGATGGGGCTCCCTGTCACACTGCTCGATCAGTTAAAGCTTTCTTGGCAGAAAATAATATTCCTCTGTTGGATTGGCCGAGTAATAGCCCCGATATGAATCCAATAGAAAATGTGTGGGAGCTGATGAAAAGAGAAGTGGCTAAGGCTCCTAGAAAAGATTATACATGTGTGGAATCATCATCCACAAATGCAGGAGACAGTGCAGTCTTGCATTGATAGCATGCCGCGCAGAATTAAGGCTTTGATAGCGCCTAAAGGTGGCTCAACAAAATATTGACTTTTACGTACTTTATTTCTACATTTCTTTAAAATTCAATAAACATAAGATTTTTTAAATTAATGCTGTTTTATTTGTGTAAAATTAATCCGTTATTGATTAAATAATAATAAAATATCGAACAGATCATTTTAAAACAATAAACCGATACAACATCGCTCTGTAGTTAATATTTTACATATAATTATGCAGTGCGTCTAATAATTTGGCCAGGGACTGTATATACATATATATATATTATATAAGGGATACGCGTGCGCGCTTCGTGAAGTAGACACGTATTATTTTGTTGCTTAAGTAATTAATTCTTTCTCAGTGTAATTATTACTCTTCAACAGAATCATTTTCTCTATTCGTGCTCAGTTATTGTAACTTTTTAATATTTTGAATTTTTATATCATTCTGTGTTGTATATTTGAAGATATCAAGCAAAAACTTTTTAAAATCAGTGCATTTAAAAGATATCATTAACGTTCATTAGTGATCGGAGTGTGACAACGCTAATGAGTTCATTGAACTTTCGCAACACAGTTTGTTCCAAGTACTAATACGAGGGACTTATTTAAGATCGAAGTACATAGTGTTCGTGGCGCAGCCGTAGAAACCACGATTGTCATTTCAAGTATCCGGGGTTCAATTCCAAGCTCTGCGATATCATTATTTTTATTTTTATATATTTTTTTCTTTTTTTACTCAATAACAATGGCAAACTTTGTGTGTGCTGGGTGCCCTGATGAACTCAATGACTCTCAGGCAATACAATGTCACAAATGTAAAGATAGATATCATGTCATATGCACACGAATATCAAACCAGGAAAATTTACGAAAATTTGGCGACTACTTTTGTATTTTCACTTTTGTATGTATGTTCTCATGTAAGTGACTATGTCTTTTTGAGAATAATTTCTTAAACCTTATTTATGAAGACAATAGCTTTAAACAGAAAATATCGTATCTCACGACGATTAATGCATCTCCAACAAATACATCTGTTATCCTAAAAACAATGAGACAAGCTCAACAAAAAGGTGATGAATGTAGTGAGGATTATGTGGAGGTCACTTACGATTTTGCGATTGCAAAAGTTGCCCTTCAATTGCAAAGTAGAGAAAAACCAAAATACAACGACTTATGACGTGAATGACCTTGGATCCTTTCACATTATGATGGCGTATTTTAAAGCAGTTGGAAAATTTATTGATAATAATTGTACACTAAAAAAATATCATGGACCCGCCTCAAACAGTTGAATACTCGTAATACATAATGTAAATATCTATCTGTGATCCGTTCTTATTATTATTAATTCTATAAATATATAATAATGTATACACTCTTTTTACGTAGTTAATAAGTTAGAATTATATACCCTAAATTTTTTTTACACATGCTTATATAGCTTATCCTACTTATCTATTATTGCGATAAGACTGTGTAAACATCAATGCAACTCATTTACTGTAGCTCCAAAGTTCCAGGACATTCCCCTTAAGATCACACAGAGCATTGGGATCCTTGGGGTTGACCTAGCGAACGACGTTCAATTCCGGAGATATTTGGAGGATAAGGCTAAACTAACATCTAAAAAACGGGGGGTACTGAGTAGAGCGAGGCAGTACTTCACACCGGGACACTTGCTTTTATTATACATATAAAGCACAGGTTCGTCCCCACATGGAGTATTGTTCTCACCTCTGGTCCGGTGCCCCACAGTACAAACTTCTTCCATTTGACTCCATACAACGTCGAGCGGTTCGTATTGTCAACGATCCCATGCTCACAGACGATCTAGAACCCTTAAGTCTCCGAAGGGATGTAAGCTCCCTTAGTGTGTTCTATCGTCTGTACAATGGGACTGTTCCGGACCATCGCACTACTTGCCGTGGGGTTCGATTTCACCCAAATCATCTGCATGCATTCAGTTGCAGGACTGTACGTGCGTCGCGATCATTTTTTCACGCACGTGCAGGATGTGGAATGATCTTCCGCCCGAGGCTTTTCCAGAGAGCTACAACATGGGGTCTTTCAAACATCACGTGTTCAGGTGGCTCCTTTACAAACAAGGCCGGCAACGCATCTACAACACCCCTTGTGTTGCAGATGTCCATGGGCGACGGTAACTACTTACCATCAGGTAGGCCCGCGTCCCCATCCCCCATCCCCCGGCAAACAAACAGGCGCCATTATTAATGCACGTTGAATATAAAGTGACGTTACCAGATCACGATTTTGTGATTGCTTCGAGGCACAAATTAATTCCAAGCGTGTATGCTTTGTGTGAAGTGAAACCCAATGAGATGGGACGACCAGAAGCTGTTTCATATAGTGGACCAACTTACATAGCAATACGAAGAAGCAAACACTCTTCGTCAACTGCAACTAGCCACGCTCAGGACTTGGACACTCTTTTAAAAATTGAGTCTTTCCAAATTTATAAAGAATATAGACAGCAAAGTTAAACCTGTTCTTATAATTTCAAGTGACGGTGGGCCTGACGAGAATCTGCGATATATCTAAGTGATCGCACACGCCATAGAGCATTTTAAACAATATGATTTGGACGCAGTATTTATTGTGACTAATGCCCACATATTCTTTTTTAAACCACAGTACTTACGATTTAAGTATTCTATTGTTAAATTTTTATTATACTTATAATTGAACTCTCAGCAATATTGATTACTAGTCTTAACTAGTCGTAAATAAAAACACGAAGCAAATTTTCTTTTCTTTTTACAATAATAATCTAACACATTTACGTAAGAAACCCACATTTTGAAAAATCTCACGTGAGATTGGGGGATGGGGGGAGGGGGTTGAAAAAAATCTCACGACATCTCACCAAGGGCGGGGGGGAGGGTCAGAAATTTCGAAAAAACACCTCACGTAATTTATGAACGCCCCCTTATGTAACTATCGACGAACAACTTTTGGGTTTCGGGATTAGATGCCCTTTATACATTCCTAACAAACCCAATACATACGTTTTAAAAATTGTAATGACATGTGACAGTGCTACATGATACGTGATTGATGCTATTGCCATATTTAGGCAAATGTACACAAACGAATGGCTTACCACTCAGAGAATTTTATGTAAAAGAACTTACAAAAGCATTTCATAGTAGTAATATATGGTGTCCCATCTAGCGTTTCGAATTTGAACTAACGATAATTTGACATTGGAGACGTCAACTGTCATCGGAGAAGTGTCACATATTTAGTAATAAGTCTGACATTTACGAAATGGGTCGCTATTCGCTTGAGGAAAGCTGGGAAATATTAAAAAATTATTTCCAAAGTGGTGAATCGCCAACGCAAACTGTGCGAAATTTGAAAAAAATATTTGCCAAAAAAGATTTGCCATCGGAGGCATATGTGCGGCAATTTGTGAATCGTGTGCGCGAAACTGGATCACTGTTGGATAAAACAACACGTAAACGTCCATTTCCAGCAAGGTCAACCGAAAACATCGCTGCGGTGGAACAAAGTGTTCGTGAACGGCCATCCACATCGATTCGTCATCGAGCGCAAGAGTTGCACCTTTCTCGGTCAACTACGCACCGAATTTTGCGCAAAGATCTTGCCCTGAAGCCATATAAAGTTCAGTTGGCCCAACAGCTGAAGCCAATTGATCATCCGAAACGTCTACGGTTCGCAAATTGGGCGGAAGATCGTTTGGCCGAAGATGGTGAGTTTTATCGAAAAATCATCTTTTCCGACGAGGCTCATTTTCACCTCGGCGGTTATGTAAATAAACAAAACTGCCGTATATGGGGCACAGAAAACCCGCACGTCGTTGAGGAGAAACCGATACATCCACAACGAGTGACTGTTTGGTGCGGATTTTGGTCCGGCGGCATCATCGGCCCATTTTTTTTTGAAAATGATGAAGGAGCCGCCGTAACCGTCAACGGCGAGCGCTACCGCGCTATGTTAACTGATTGGTTTTTCGGTCAAATGGAAGAGTATGATTTGGACGATATTTGGTTTCAACAGGACGGGGCTACGTGCCATACAGCCCATGCTACGGTCGATGTTTTGCGCCCAATCTTCGAAAATCGCATAATCAGCAAAAATGGTGATGTGAATTGGCCTCCAAGAAGCTGCGATTTAACACCATTGGATTATTACCTTTGGGGAGCGGTCAAAGACGTTTGTTACGCCAACAAGCCAAGCACGATTGATGACTTGAAACATGAAATTGAAGTTGCCATTGCTGCCATAAGGCCGGAAACAATTGAAAATGTACTGAAAAATTGGACTGATCGAATAGGGTACTGCCAAGTAAGCTGTGGTGGACATTTGACCGAGATAATTTTTCACAAATAATGTCATGAATTATGCTTTCAAATAAATGTTTGATCATTGAAATCTATCGAGTCGTTCTTTTTTTATAGCCTTTTTAAATTCGAAATTTTCCGTGAGACACCCTATAGAAATGTCACTGTGACAATTGTTTCACATCAGTTCCATTAGTAAAATGCTTGCTAAGGCAGCCATACAACTTGACTTAGGTACTATTAGATTGAATAAACGTGAAATACCTGAAGAGCTGAAAAATAGTCGATCCAGGCTAATTAATAATATTGCGCTCTTACAAAAGAAAAAAAAATGTCTCCAAAGAAAAAGGCGGGGCGTTCTCTAATGGACGCACCTAAAATGGACCCACCTGTTTTACAAGCAGTCAATAGATTAGAAACTTTGGCTCAAACTATCCGTCAAGATTAATTTGATACATTCGGAGTACATGTGGCAAGCCAATTACGAAGTTTGCCATTAAGAAATGCTATTTATTGTTTATCAAAATTTCATCAATAATTAATTATTTGTCACAAGAAAGACTGAAAACCTTAAATACACAACATTTTCCAATTGCTAGACCTACGAGTTCACTCACAGACTATACAGGCTATACTTCGACTCCAGATTCGATCCAAACTTAAACAACGATAATAATCTATACAATATAGCTACTGGGAAAATATTCTCTGAAGATATAGCTGACTTCTACTGATCATCGAAAAAAATGGTGATGAGTTAAGAAAGCAGTTCATTACTGAATGTGCTACAGATGGATCTAGATTTGACAAACCTATAAAAAAAAATTCTTAACTTCGCTGAGGCTCCAAAAAAAAATTAACACTTGGGAATAAAATTGTCGAGCTGAAGATGCAAAGGGATTTATTCGGGCGAATGTTGGGAATATCCTTAACTCATAAAGTCGATATTGAGAAAATATTAACATTTCCACTGACACCAGTGCCAACATCGATGTGCCACGCTGATGGCAGTATTTGCAAAACTGATAAATCTCAATTAGTCAAGTTGATGGAGAAGAAAATCGGTGATAACGTCGATAAGCCACCTCCGTTGCCCAGATTTTAAATGATGCACGGAATAATGTGGATGGTGTATTTCACTGGTTTTACCGGCTTGGTGACATTTTTATATTAGATGCGGTTATGTGGCACATATGCCAGAAACAAAATACCCAAATGAAACCCACCTTACTTCTGAACAAGCAAATAAATCTAGGCTTGTCACCATGTGCTGCTGGGTGGTCGAAGTGATTAATGGCCGCTTTAAAAGAGACTTTCGTTTACTCAGAAATGTTCATAGTAACAGAGCATTAAGTAATATGTTCGATTATTTTAAGATCGCGGCAGCATTGCTGAACAGCTATCACGTTATAATAGACAATAACGTACACGCACGCGATTTTATTGATATAATTAATGTACGAATAAACATACCAAATAGCTTAGCAGATATTGTCAACACAAATAATTATAACAGAGGTAGAGCTCATTTTGAGCCTATGAGAGCCGAAATGCGTCAATTTAATGACTTTCCCGGAATGACAGAGGAAGAATTGACGCTATTTGCTTTTAGATAGTGTGGCGAACGCGACACTTACATATATAATTAAACATTATATATATTGTTAAATAATAAATAATTATTATACTGGCAACCCTAAAGCCGCCTATATAAGGAGCGCCATTACTGACAATCGGACACTCTTTGTTCTCAACTATTGTTAAGAGATGAACCTCTAATTAGTCTCGAATATTAATTAATTGACCCTTGGCTGGCGACCGTTTCTTTTTAAAAATCATAACGTGTTTTTTCATTTCTAACAATAAATATATATATATTAATATAATATCTCATATGTATTTTGTTACATTAAATAATACTTTGTATTTGTACTTTAAATCATATAATTAATTAAATAAAAATGTATATTATGTAAATGACGGAAGGCAGTCGCCGAGTGGTCGTGAGATAAAAATGTCTTGTCTCAATAATCGTTAAACAAAGAAACGCAAGCGCATCGGCTCGACCGCCACCCGCCAACTAGTTAAAACTTGGATCTCAAACCAAACGCACATCGCTTATCGCTTAAACTTTGCTACACTATATTAAACCCTATTACTAATACGAATAAGGTTAATACGAATAAGGTTAAAACATCATTCATCATTCGGATACAATAGCTATCAATTGAAGCAAGCCCGCAGTTATAATGCTGAACAGAAGTCCAGATCTATCCCCAGATGACTTCTTTTTATGGGGTTATTTAAAGAGTAGTATCTACATCGATAAACCAAATACACTACGTCAACTAAAAGAAAAAATCAGCGAAGAGATATCGACGATCTCACGGTCTCTGTGCGGACGAGTATTCGAAAATTTCGTTACTCGCTTCGAAGAGTGTAAAAATCAAAATGGTGGTCATTTAGATGATATGATTTTTAAAAAATAATTTCCAACTAATTAGCTTTCCCTTAATAAAACAATTTTTAAAATATGTCAAATAGTTTTTTTTTTAAATGATTATTTCAAATGTTAACTAATTCATGGCCCACCCTCTATTTAAAAATTTTCCTAAGCCACGTTCTAGGACGCCGATAATGAGCCGAAGTGTGCAGGCACATGTTCACATTTTGAGGCCATATCTTTTTTAAGAGTAGTTCTGAAACCCCGACAATCACAAGGGAATATTATATCACAAGACTCCGAAAGCAATTTCATAGATCCGTCAGTGTATACAGACGCGGCTAGTATCGAAGAGATATTCAAAACTGCTGATCGAAGGTCTGTTAGACGACAATGAGGAACACATTTGATCAAACGAATCGACACCGCCTTTTGTTTGATTATAAAATAATATCCATCATCATCCATCCAAATATAAAAGTGACATTTTTACCTTCCAACACGACGGCTTTGCTTCAACCTATGGACCACAGCATAATCCAGGCCTTTAAGCTCTATTACATTAGACAAACCTTCAAAATCATATTGGATAATATGGTACAGAAAAAGTTGACAATAAATGGTATCCCTTAGGCTATTTTTCTAGAAAGCTAACGGAAACCCAAAAGAAATATTCCGCTTACCATAGGGAATTGCTCGCAATTTACATGGCTGTTAAACATTTTTGTAATTTGATTGAAGGTCGAATATTAACAATATTTACGGATCACAAACCTTTAGTTTTTGCTTTTTCTAAAATTAAAAATGACAAAGAAAGTCCGCGCAGAATTCGATATTTATCATGCATCAGTGAATATACCACTGACATTAGGCATATTAGTGGAAACGAAAACATAGTAGCGGATACACTTTCGCGCATAGAAACGATTAGCTGTCTCACGGTGATAGATTACGCGTTGTTTACAAAAGAGATACTCTGATACTGTTGACTTCAAAAATAATAATACGGCATTAGAAAAGAATGATAGAGAAGAAAACTCAAATGCTGCGGATGAAATTATTGAAAATCGAGTTCAAGAACTAACCGAAACGTCTTCATCTACATTCACTGTGTCATCAAAACTAGCAACGAAAAAAAGGGGCAAATCAAATAAAAGACAGGACGAGGTACATGGAACCATTGACAAAATAAATAAAATTGCCGAGAATGTTACTAAAAATACAACATCGTTACTACAAAATAAAGAAGATGAATTCGACATTTTAGGGAGATATATAGCCTCGACTTTACGTACATTGCCACGCGAGTTTCCAATTATTGCAAAAACAGATATTCAAAAGGCTTTATCGAAAATTCAATTAAAAGCATTGAGGCAAACCAAATCTTCGTTGTTATCCTATGGTACCTCGACGTCCAATATCTATGATCCAGAAAATCCAGGATATTTAAGTTCCGCATCTGTGTCTAATTTATCTAACTACGAAGACGATTTCAACAACATCAGTTTCACAAACACATGAAGCAATTTTATATATTATTTATAATTATGCGACATCTATTTGCCTGGTAAGGCATTTTTATTTCATTTGATATTGATTAAATGATTACTACACTCGCGGACACCAAAATCGAACCACTTTGTAATCCACCAGACATTGAAATTTGAAACTAATAACAATAAAGAAATATTTTGTTAGTCAATATTTAGAGATGGTTGTACACAATATCCGTACATCGGAGAAAAACGATACATTTTTGGTTATCAAATGAAAAAAAATTAAATAAAACTCTACATCACAAAATGAAGGCGAGTCTTCGCAAAAACCAGAAGATTATTATACACAAGAACAAATTAATGATGCTGTTCAAAAAGCACCGGAAAAATCCACAAAGAAGACCTCAAAGAAAAGGAAACACGAGGAAGAAGACGACAAAATGTTGACAGAGGCTTTTAAAATCTAACTGAAACATCTCAAGCTACGGATACTTATTTCAGTTATGGGCAGCACATTGCAAACGAATTAAGGAAATACGATGACCGCACTCTATTATATGTGAAACAGGCTATAAACAATATAATTTTTGAGGCTGACTTAGGTAGATACAGTCCAATGTATGGGTATACATCACAAGAGCCTCAAAATCTTTCCAATAACAATTCTCTGGCCAGTACGTCAACTCAAGATGATAATCTTAATCTCGAGAAATAATTTATGTTAAAAAAGTTAAATAAACATCCGTGGAAAGCCAATTAGGTTTGGTTTCAAAAACTGGGCAATGTGTGCTAGTACCGGATATATGTTAGCGTTCAGTTTACAGTCCCTGGCCAAATTATTAGACGCATTGTATTGTTTATAATTATTTCATGTTTCTTAAATGATTTTATGCAGTAATTGTGTATTTAAACTACAGTATTATTGATTTTTATTTAAAAGATTTGTTGTAGACTATCTATTTTTATTTATTTTTAGTGTATGGCAACTTTGTGTTGTTAAAGGGATACATGAACGTAAACAAGTATAAACCTGTTTCAGTCGCGATCGCGCAATTTCGTCAGGTTTGGACGTGTTTCTCAGTTTCTCTTTCGGGGTTTATAGTCTGTGATTGTTTGTTTAACAGTTTTTTACTGTTCAGTTATTAGTTTATTTTGTATTCAGTGTTTTAAAATAAACATTGGACTATTTTCATTATGGGTAAAAAGGGCGATCTTTCACCGCGTAAAAAAGCCGAAGTAAAGGCTCTTTTAAATGCGAAAACATTTTCGAACCGGGAAATATCACGAAGATTAAAAGTTTCTGAAGCTAGTGTACGACGCATAAAAAAAGTAATTGAGTCGGGGGAGGAATTAAGCCCGAAAAGAAAGAAAAGATGTGGTAGAAAACCAATTTTCACTCCTCGGTCAGAGAGATGTTTGAAGAAAATTTGTCTAGAAAACAGATTTGCTACCACAAAGGTAATAAAATCACAACTCCAGGATGCTAGCGTAAATGCTTCTGAACGGACTATTCGAAGAAAATTGAAAGAATTAGATTTTAAAGCCTGTCGCCCCGCCAAGAAGCCCAAGTTAACAGCTGCAATGAAAACAAAGCGACTGAAGTGGGCCAAGCAATGGTAAGACAAAGATGTGAACTTCTGGAGATCTGATCTGGAGCGCTGAGAACTGCACAGTCAAAGACGTAAAACAATTCAAGAAGGAGGCGCGAGGTCATTTCGATTACCGAGTAGCTGATTATGTTTTCGTATTTCGGTGGAATGATAACAATGTCACAGTAGCCACTAATTTTGAAAATCTGACAATTACATCTGCCACACGCTGGTCCAATGAAAAAAAAAGCCAAACTGCAAGTACCTCAGCCATCACTTATTTCAAATTATAATAAGTATATGGGTGGAGTAGACAAATGTGTCCAGGCTGTGGCAAACTTACGAACTCGGATGCGTATAAAGAAATGGTGGTGGCCCATATTTGCATATTTATTAGACGTTTCGGTTGTAATTTACAACTTGTAAATGCCTGGTTACTTTATAATTTATAATTTTTTTTCCACTTACACAGTACGAACCGATGCTCTTAAAGAATTCCAGAAGCCAATCACAGATTTAGATGATTTTGCTAAGGCTGCTATTAGAAATCATATTTATGGTTATTATAAAAGAAACGATCAATTCATGATTTGATGATTATGTTTAAAATCGTAAATGGTATTATAGATAGCAGCCATCTACTAGCTCAGCTCACTATTTCGGTACCCAATAAAATTCCTCGTCAACGCATAACAAAAATTTTTTACCATCCAAAAGTTAAAACAAATCTAGGTGCGCATTCTCCGCTTGCTAGGATGTGCAACCTTTACAATTTACTAAATAAAGATATAACAGACTTGGACATGTTTCGCGATTCATATTCTAAATTCAGACATACCTAGCAAAAATATTTCTAAAATTGTAACTTTTCGCTTTTAATTTGTGTTGTTTTTATTAATTAGTGTTTTTTTTATTTAATAGTGTTTTTTTAGATGTATTTTAATTTAATTAGATGAAGGTGTTGTTTTTATAATTTTTTTTTAGACAATGCTGTGAACACCTGTAATAGGTGTACATACGTAGACCTTTACATTTGGCTATATTTTTTGTGTAAATGTTGTATATGTGTACTGTTGGTGTTCCTAAGTAAATAAATAAATAAATAAATAAAGGAGCTACCCACATCATTCAAGCTTCTAAAATCGTTAAAAGAAGCTGACATGTTCAAAGGAGGTATTACTTCGTTGCGGCAAGTTATGAAAGATATTGGTTTCGTTTACAAAAAAGTTAACAAAAGGAAGATTATTATGGAGAGGAATGACATTGCCCTAGCAAGATGTTCATTCTTAAGAAAGGCCAAAAACATAAGCGATTGGAGCAAAGTTGTCTTTTTGGATGAAACATGGCTAAACGCCAACCAGACAGTGGGTAAAAGTTGGACCGACGATACGGCACAATCGTGTACCAAAGTGCCGGAGAGCAAAGGCGAACGCCTTATTATTTGTCACGCAGGTACAGCAAGTGGCTTCGTCCCTAATTGTTTGCTGGCTTTTAAGTCAAAAAAAAACTACAGAGTATCATGAGGAGATGAACTACGAAAAATTTAAAGATTGGTTCTTAGGTCCATTAACCCTAGAAGCCCAATCTACGTAAATTTGACGTATACCGCGGCGAAATATCTCTGTCTCTTTCACGTTTACCGTCGGATCGCCGCTAACTTCTGAACCAACTCAGTAGCCATTGAGACCTCGCAGGACACAGTTGCGTCATCTCGGTAAGTGCCGCCATTTTATTGTAATAGAGAGGTTGCACGTCATTTTGACGTATAATTGGGCTTTGTGTAACTTTTGAAATTGTTTCTAATTTTTTATTTTTGTAATTTATTTGAGTTAATCGTATTGTTTCGTTTCATTTTTCATATAATATTAATATTTTCAGGTTTAACACAAAATGGAGTCCCGTCATCGGCTAAACCAGGACGAAATAGCTACAATTTTAGAAAATGATGACGATTATTCTCCGCTGGATTCGGACTCCGAGGAAGAAGATCGTGTAGTTGAAGATGAAGTCTGGAGTGATAACGAGGACGCGATGGTCGATTTCGTTGAAGATACAAGCAGGCAAGAGGACCCCGATAACAATATTGCTTCTCGGGAATCGCCTAATCTTGAGGTAACTTCATTGACTTCACACAGAATTATTAGTTTGCCTCAGCGGTCAATGCGTGGAAAAAACAACCATGTATGGTCAACTACAAAGGGACGTACGACGGGAAGGACTTCTGCTATCAATATTATACGCACAAATAGGGGACCAACGCGAATGTGTCGCAATATTGTTGACCCATTGCTCTGTTTTCAACTTTTTATGACAGACGAGATAATTCATGAAATAGTCAAGTGGACAAACGTCGAGATGATACTAAAACGACAAAATTTGAAAGACATTTCAGCAAGCTACAGGGATACAAATACAATGGAGATCTGGGCGTTAGTCGGAATTCTCACTCTGACGGCTGTTATGAAAGATAACCACCTCTCAACTGATGAGTTGTTTGACGCTACATTCTCTGGCACCAGATATGTATCAGTAATGAGCCGAGAGAGATTTGAATTTTTAATAAGATGTTTGAGAATGGACGATAAAACACTGCGACCAACTCTTCGTAATGATGATGCTTTTTTACCAGTGAGAAAAATATGGGAGATTTTTATCAATCAATGCAGACAAAACTACGTTCCTGGCAGTAACTTGACTGTAGATGAGCAATTGTTAGGTTTTCGCGGCCGTCGTCCGTTCCGGATGTATATTCCCAATAAACCTGACAAATATGGCATAAAATTCCCCATGATGTGTGACGCTGCCACAAAGTACATGATAGATGCCATACCTTACCTTGGTAAAAGTACGAAAACAAATGGTTTACCACTGGGCGAGTTTTATGTAAAAGAGCTGACTAAAACAGTACACGGCACGAATAGAAATGTTACCTGCGACAACTGGTTCACGTCTATCCCATTAGCTAAGAACATGCTCCAGGCTCCATCAACTGACCATCCAATAGTAGGAACCATCAACTAACAAAAGAGAGATACCTGAAGAGATCAAGAATTCTCGCTCACGGCCGGTAGGATCCTCAATGTTTTGCTTTGATGGCCCTTTGACCTTGGTTTCTTATAAACCAAAGCCGTCGAAAATGGTATTTTTATTGTCTTCCTGTGATGAAAATGCTGTTATCAATGAAAGTAACGGAAAACCGGACATGATATTGTTTTATAATCAAACAAAAGGCGGCGTTGATTCCTTTGATCAGATGTGTAAATCTATGTCTGCTAACAGGAAGACTAATAGGTGGCCGATGGCGGTCTTTTACGGGATGTTGAATATGGCGTTTGTGAACTCCTATATAATATACTGTCACAATAAGATAAATAAACAAGAAAAACCAATGAGCCGCAAAGAATTTATGAAAAAATTAAGCACAGATCTGTCGACACCTTGGATGCAAGAACGGCTACAAGCACCTACTTTGAAGAGGACTCTGCGCGCCAATATAACAAATGTTTTTAAAAAATGTGGTACCGCCATCTCCGGAAAATATTAGTGATGAGCCAGAACCAAAGAAACGACGTTATTGTGGATTTTGTTCATATAAAAAAAGGCGGATGACCAAAGCGCAGTGTTGCAAAAGCAAAAAGGCTGTATGTGGAGAACACAATATTGATGTTTGTCAAGACTGTATATAAAGACTGTATTTTTCGAAGAGACTTATAAAGTATTATTACAAGTTGATTTAATTTTATGAAAACATTTAAAACTAGTTGATTTTTGTTATAATTACACATTTTTAAGAAAAAAGTGTTAGAAGCTTGATTTTTTGTTGATTTTTTTCTAAGATTTAATTAAAGTGCCATAATTGTATTAATAAAGAGTATTTTTAACATAAAATGTATTTTATTTATTAATTAAAACATCAATTATGATAACTCATGCAAAAATATAGTTCATTAACAGAAAAAAATAGGAAAACTCTGAAATTTTATTTTTACACGTCATTTTTACGTATGATTGGGCTTTATGACTAGTTAAATATGATTGGGCTTCTAGGGTTAAATAATTTAAAAGAGCCTATGACCATAATAATGGACAACGCACCCTATCATTCGGTACAAGTTAATAAAACCCCAAACCAATCCAACCGCAAAAGCGAGTTGGTAAAGTGGTTGAATGAAAACGGAGTTACAGCAGATATAAAAATGTTAAAAGCAGAGCTTATTGCCTTAGTACGACGTCATAAACCATCAACTCCTACCTATGCTCTGGACGAAATGGCAAAAGAAAAAGGCCACCAGGTCCTTCGACTACCATTGTCTTTTAACGCTATTGAGCTGATTTGGGCCCAAATAAAAAGTCACACCGCAAGAAATAATACATCGCCGCCATTTACGGCAAATAAGATGTTGGCCCTATTACAAGACGCAATCAACAAAGTTCAGCCTGAAGACTGGTCGATGGTTGTGAATAAAATAAAAAGGGACATTATGTCTGATTGGGATCGTGACATCCATATTGACAATATAATGGACTCATCGTGAATAATATCCGTCACAGATACAGATGATGAATTTAGTTACAATTCAGATGTTCCTGGTTCTGATATGAGTTTAGACGAATAAAATCACTTTTTTCTTTCCATTAGATTATATTTGTACACTAGAACATTCTGGTTTGGTTTAATTTAAACTACTTCAGTAATTAATGATTTAATTTAATACGAATGTGGTACAGCTGAAATACTAACTCATAATTTGTAAATCGTGGCAACTTTCAAGAGTGAAACGAAACGTTACTGAAACTGTCACCCGCACCATGCTACACCGCAAATAGTATAGTTAGTGTTTGTTTAGTTCGTGATTAGTGAAAAAATAATTTATATTTGATATGCCTCCTATAAGACGAAGCAATTTAGGTAGAAGAACCAGAAATGCTACAAACCAAGCTAATTACCGTGAGCGCGAGCGCGACATTCAACTAGGAATTCAGGAATTTAGTCTATTAGCTACTTAAAAGAAAAGTAGCCGCACGAAACCGCACCTCTTTTTTTGTAGTGAAGTACAATATTTGACAAAAAATCTTATATTTAATATTATTCGTTTTAATTGTTATAGGACCTTCTGGTATGAAGACTATGACTCTGAATGAGTTGTATGACATGGCCCAAAAATCAATGGGGTCAACATTTGATGAAAAACTTAAATTTATGGAGATTTATGGATACTTAGATTTATGGAGAAGCGCAGGTAAGTAAATCACAATAGACGTGATCCTTTGCTATTGTTTAAATTATAACTAATTATGCTTTGTTTTCTAACATTTTCTACTCTTTTGTTGTAGGATTAAGTCCCGGGCGACCTCAGAAGTCGTTTATTGATTCTAGTGAACGAAGCAAGCGGCGAAAAACCAAACACCTCAGATCAAAGGAACTAGCAGAATTAACATATGCAACCCAAATGCAATTGCGAAGGGAAGGCAAAGTCGAAGCTTCCAAAGTTGTTAAAGACTTATCAAGAAGTCCTCAAAGGGTAAAAAAATATGGAAAGGCTTTTAAAGAAAGCACTGAAAAGCAAGATCAGCCTCGTCAATTATCGCCGTTACAAGCACTTTCAATGTTCACAGAAGCAGTATGAAAGAATGCGTGAAACGAACCCAAGTTTTTTTCCGTGTTATTCTATCCTTCAAAAAGCGAAAAAAGATTGTTACCCAGAAATTCGTGTGACCGAGACATGTGCTGAAGTACAAGTTCAAAAGTTAATGGATCACACGGTATCAAGACTGATACAATTATTGGGAGAAGCTGTAGAAGATTCAAGTGAAGAAGAGAAATGTTCATTATTATTATTTAGTAAATGGGGTTGTGACGGTTCACAACAAGTTCAATATAAAATGAAGTTTGAATATGAAGATGATTCTGATGCCAATATATTTCAAAGCTCAGTAGTTCCACTCCAGTTAATTTATGGCCCAGAAAAAAAATACTATGGCAAAATCCAATACCATCGTCACCTCGCTATTGTCGCCCCATAAGAATACGTTTTGTTAAGGAGACAACTGATGAAACTAACGAAGAAATAAATTATATACAGTCACAGATATCAGCGCTTTCTAGCACAAATATAAATGGGAAGTGTATATAACGTAAGATGCTGTTAACGATGGTTGATGGCAAGGTATGCAACGCCGCTATAGATACCAAATCTACTATGAAATGCTACATATATGTGAAACAAATAGTAGAAGATAAAAGAAAAGAAATACAAAAGAAATTTAAAGAAAAACTTGGACTTTTAGTTGACATGCCCAGAACTAATTATGGAAATACAAATGATGTTAATACAAGTGGGAGATTTTTGGAGCACTTTGAAATTGAAGCAGAAATAACAGGAGTGGATAAATGTTAAATTTATCGACTAAAGGTCATTCTGGATGCATTATGTTCTGGTATGAAAATAAATGTCGAAAAATTTGAAAAATATTGCCAAGAAACTGATGAACTATATGTCTCACTTTATAGATTTTACCCCATGATTACACAAAATTGTTCGACATGGAGCAGCTGTCATCAAGGAAGCAATACTCCCAATTGGCCAGCTATCCGAAGAAGCTGCTGAAGCTCGCAATAAAAACATTAGGTCATTCAGGCTGAACTTCACAAGAAAGTTCTCGCGAGTAGAGTGCAACTTGGACGTCCTAAACCGACTTTTGTTGACCTCTGATCCTTTGGTAACTGGTATGAGGGATAGGCTATCCCTCATACCCTATGTATTACAATACTAAATGACGCGTCAAACCACGGCAACAAGAAATTGTACCCCATTGTAGTGCGCTTTTTTCAACCATACGTAGGTGTGCAAGTAAAAATTTTAGATTTCCAAGACCAATCTGGTGAAACTTCTGACATCATTGTCAATTATTTAAACCAAGTGTTGACAGATAATAATTTGACTGCAAGTCGTAGCATTTTGTGGGGACAATGCAAACGTCAATTTCGAAGGTGCAGCTAGGCGAGGAACTAATAATGTTCTAACGAAATTACAATCATCTCTGAAAAAAGAAATAATAGGTATTGGATGTGGAGCCCATGTAATTCACAATGCAATAAAATCTGCTGCAGATGGGCTACCCGTAGATTACGAAAGCGTTATTGTGAAGATATATTCCTTTTTCTATATTTATACAATTCGAGTTGAAGCTCTAAAAGAGTTTTGTGCCGAAACTGAAATGGAATATCAACAAATGCTCGGCTATAGCAAAACCAGATGGCTTGCTCTCATGCCTGCTTTGGAGAGAGTTTTAAAAATGTACCAGCCGTTAAAAAGCTACTTTTTGAGTATTGAAAATGTCCCCTGTTACTAAAAAACTTTTTTGAAGATCCCACATCCGAATTGTGGTTTTATTTTTTACACGCTCTATCAGCAAGTTTTTATCAAGCTGTCTTGAAACTTGAAGGTCAGACTGTATCGGCAATTGAAGCTGCAAAAGAAATCAATCAATTAAAAGACAATTTAACTCAGAAACAGACCAATCAGTTTCTTCAATTTATGGTTCGTCAATTAATGTCAAAATTAAAAGATAGTGGTACTGATATCGATGAAGAATTTGTGAAAAGGACGGCTACAGAATTTTATAAAACAAGCCGTGAATATCTGGAGCAGTGGACTTGCTTTCTTAGCCAAGAAATGGAGATATTTTATTGGGCAGATTTAAAAAAGGTCCCCACATGGGAAGACATTCAAAAATCTCTGGATGTATTAATTCTAAAGCAATATATTGACTGTAATAAAGATACTGAAGTGTTTGACGAATTTTCATTAATTTCTAATTACATCACATCGCAAAAAGTAACGGAATGGAATAATTTAAATGTTTCCACGGAAACCCGTTGGGTGGAAGTATTCAAACACTTTCGCGCCAATAATCTTCAGCATGAAAACTTTTCTATTATAATTGAATATATTTTATGTTTGCCTGCTACAAATGCTCCCGTAGAAAGGGTATTTTCTATTATGAATAAATTGTGGACATCCGAGAAAACCCAGTTACAAATTTCAGTTCTAAGGGCGATGTTGATAATTAAGGTGAATATAAAAAAAACGTGTCAAGAGTTTCATTCTTACTTGAAATCGTCACTAGCTATATTAAAACAAATTTGTTCTTCTGATAAATATAAACATAAATAAACATTTTGCGTACCTTTCTGAATCGTAACTCTCTCTTAAGCCAACTAACATTTTCTGAATAAATAACTTTAAAAAGCGTTGTTTGTTTCATTTACTACTTTTGATTTAACCTAAATAAAGCAATGTCCCGTTTTGAGTCAAAAAATAAATGGTCACGTTAGGGATAGCCAAAGTAGAATGTAGAAGAAAATATCGCAAGATGTTATTAATTTATTAAGTGAAGATGATATTACCATTTTAGCTAACCCAAAAATATTAAATTAAAAAATTTTTGGATCAACTTAACCTTTATAAGGCACTTCGAGCTATTTTTCTCTGATGAAGTTCTGACTCATATTGTGGAGCAAAATAAACAGAAAAATTGGGAAAATAATTTTGTTACGGAAATACGTGCCTTTTTGGGAATGCTGGTACTAATGGGCGTACACCCACTGCCTAACATGGATTTATATTGGTCATCAGACCCTTTCTTCTGTGTCTCTGAAATTGCAGATGTAATGACTTCAAAAAGACTCAAAATGATACTCAAAAATCTTCACTTGAATGACAATAGTCAAATGCCAAAGAAAGGAGAACCGCAGTTTGACAAGCTATACAAAATTAGGCCACTGATAAAAACCATGAATGAAACATTCCAAAGTGCAGCAAAAAATACATGTTCACAGAGTATAGACGAATGTATGGTCAAATTTAAAGGCAGAAGCAAGGTGAAACAGTTCTTACCCAATAAACCTGTGAAAAGAGGGTTCAAAATATGGGCTCGGTGTGACAGTCAAAAAGATTACCTTTTTGAGTTCGAGATATATACGGGAAAAAGGGTAATGAAGCTGAGACTGGCTTAGGAGAAAGTGTGGTAAAGGATCTATGCCAAAAACTGATTGACGAAAAATTGGAAAATGTCCACGTCACTTTTAACAACTTTTTTCTTCAACGGAGCTTCTGCAAAAATTATATGAAAATAATATTTATTCGACGAGTACAGTTAGAACGAATCGTACTAATCTACCAAAAAAATTCAGAAGGTTAGCCAAGAAAAATCAAGCAAAGCAGCCAGTCTTGTAATTCGCAAAGGGCCAATATACGTGGCGAGTGAATAGAAATGTTTCGTTTTTTACTTGGATGGACACAAAACTAGTAACAATTCTAAGCACAGCTTCCCACCCTAAGAGCAAAGTGACGTGCAAGAGAACACAGAAGGATGGCAGTAAGTAGGAATTTCCTTGCCCTCTAGGTATTCTCGAATACACAAAAAGAATGGGCGGAGTTGACCGTTTCGACCAGAAAGGCGGCACATATCAAATAGCTAGAAAGATTAAAAGATGGTGGATGCGGTTATTTTATTTCTTTGTGGAATCTGCCATCACAAATGCATACATTTTATATGCACAGAAAATCCGGTACCCCATTAACAATCTGCATTTTCGTACTACATTGGGAAGGAACTTGATTGGAAACTTCACCAGTAGAAAGAGGAGGATTTCCAGTCTACCATGTTTTGCCACCAAAATACCAAAAATTGAAAGCAGGCAAAAGGCTAAATATGGGATTCCAGACGAAATGCGTCTAACTGATGTTGGATCTCATTAGAGCTGTTGCAAACCGTATGTATTCGGTACTGAGTAACGGGTGCGCCATCTAGTACCGAGTAACGAAAAGTTACACATGAATGAGACTAATCACTAATGAATGAATTTCATTACTTCTGTGGTAAGAGCAAATTTTTTTAGACAAATACTATGTAATTTTCTATTATGTAATAGTTACACCTTATTTCCTAACTGCCAAAAGTACCACTTACCCACAAAATTGGTGGTGTCCCAAGAGAACACACATTCTAACCTACCTCATATTGTCTTACAAAAAACAAAACCCTTTTTTCTGTAAACACATTAACCATGCTATAATTAGTTGTGAATTTGTTGTGTGTAAAAACAACAAATAATTACAAGTAGGTACATACAATTAAACAATTTTATGTGAAATATTATTGTTTAGAAATGCACAAAATTTATGTATTATATTTCTTAGTCAATAATACAACGTTTAACAATGTTTAATAATGTACAAAATAAAAATTATGTACAATTTACACATGCAAATATTTTGACTCATATTCAACTATTATTACTACAAAATGAAACTAGATCATTTACTGTCATAGCCCAAAGATATTCAAGAACCAAAGTATAGAAAAATATTTATTACATTCATCAATATCAATTAGGATAATGAATAACTTTATATGAATTGTTATATGAAAAATTATACATTGCAGGGGTTAATCTAAGACCAGCCATGAACCAAGAGCTTTATATCAAATATACAAACTTTAACAAATTCACATATTAGCACAAAAACAATATTACTATTACTTACTGATAAACAAAAGAACACCATAGAAATACAATAAATATATAACAGTACAGTTTTTGACACATGTTTAAAATTTTATGACATTTTTATGATTTAATTATTATCTCCCATCAGACATTTATTTAAACTCGCCCTAAAATCTGCTTTTACTTATATAGTAAATAATGAAACATATTTGACAATGAAATTTCTACTACATTTTAAAATTTAAAAGTAATCCTTAATATAAAATACAAAAACTAATTTATCAATAAATCTTGCAATGATTCACTATTTCATATTAATTCCAAACCAAACTTGTCGCTTAAACAATTGTCTTTCACTTTTAATTCCACTTCAGCCATTATAAATTGATCCTCACTAATGTATCGTTCGATTCACCAATTAAATGTTTGAGTCTATCAATGTCCGTTATAAATTGATCTTTAATACATTTGTATTATGGATCAATTTATCGCTTATATTATCTTAAATATCATTGTTTCCCACGTTTTCCAGGAGGCTTTTGTAGTTGAAAGCCGGAATCGTTTTGAGCTGTACCAAAACTGAGATTGAGAGATGTGTTCAGATTCGTCTGTGGTTGTGGTTGCCAGTTTGATCCTGAAAATATTAAGTAAAATTTAAATATAAAATGAGAAGAAAACTTCTCAGCATACAATGGATTCACTGTATGGGTGCCGGCTCCATCATTGTCAGGAGAAGAGCTTTAACAGTGCCTGGGACTTGCGACCCAGGTGTAAGTTTAAAGGAGCCTAATGTGTCATGTCATCAGCCTATTAGAAGCCCACTGCTGAGCAAGGCCTCTTTCAAAGCAAAGCAAAGCATCAATCACCACGCTTGCTCAAGATGGGTTGGTGATTTCAAACTTATAATTGTGAAACTATAAGTCCAGGTTTCCTCACGATGTTTTCCTTCACCGTATGTCAGTGATGTTTTAATACTCTCAGAAAGTAAAGGACCCTATCTAACTTAAATTAACATTACTACGAGTAAGTAAATTTATCAAATTTAAACAAATTCAAGTGTAAAAACTTTTTTTAATCTATACATAATTTGTATGAGTTAAATGTAAAGAGGCAGATCATAAAGTATTATAATCTTTACCTGTATTATCTGGGACAGGCAATGAAGACATTGAATTGCCCAAATATGTAAATGGTGTTGGTCCAGCCAATTCTTGTATATTACCTGATTAAAAAAACATTTATAAATTATTAAAACAGACCTTATTTCAATAGTAATAAGGTTTTAAAAAAATACACTATTATATAACCACTTTTTGACCGTGACTTCTACTTACTTATATCGTATATAAAATATTATTTAAAATGTTTCAGAAGGTATAATAATTTGTTAATTTGTGAAGCAACGATTTTATTTAAAATGTGTATCTCAAGTGTTAGAGTAACCATGTTAAATTTAGAAATTAACTAATTTACAATTAAAATGAAATTTAATTGTTTTAGCCTATGTACATATAATGTATAGTATTAAAAGAAAACTTACAACTCATGCGGCTTCCATGTGCATACATATTTAACATATAGTAGTTATATATGCACCAAAATTCTATCTACATATATATATCTTCATACAAAATTACATCAAAATCAGTCCAGTAGCTGTGCTGTGAGGCGCTAAGATCGTTAATTACTTTTGAAAAACCATTAACAGGTTCAATCCTCATCCAATCTTTAAGTTCTATTTCTCTTAATACCTATATTACTCACCAAATTTCATCCAAATCCGTCCAGCCATTTTAGCGTGAATGAATAACAGAAATAAAGAAAAGCATTCGCATGAATTATGTTTGTATATATTAAAGTAATAAATTACCCAAAAGCGCTCTCGGATCAGACAACACAGAGCTTCCAAGACCTAAGTCTGAAATGGATTTCTTCTTTCTGGTGCCTTCAGCGTCACCGAGTATTTGATCGAGGCTTGCGTTTTCTAGAAAACATACAATAACATATATAACAACATATAATCAAGTGTTAAATCTCAAACTGCGGTAAATCCTAAGATTTTCTAATCATTATCATCAGCCTATCAGAGCCCATTGCTGAGCAAAGGCCTTCTCACATGGAGAAGGTTTGAGCATTAATCACCACGCTTGCTTAAGACGAATTGGCGATTAACAAACCCATAGTTGGAAATTATAAGTCCAGGTTTCCTTACGACGTTTTTCTTCACCGTCTGTCAGTGGTGTCTAAACTCTAAATACTCTTAGAAAGTACATATGACTCGGAAAAATCACATTGGTGCTTACCAACCCGCACCCTCATGCATGAATTCTATTCTATTCTAGAATTTCTAATACTTAATTTTTAATATCCAAAAAGATAAGGTTAATTTAAGTAAATAATTAAGAATTTGCTTTGTTATATTCCTAAAACCGACATCTACCAGCTGACAGTAGTAAAAACTAGTATATACTAAACTCGAATGGCAAAAACCTGAAAAATTGTTCTATTTTCAACATTTACAAATTCCTATCGTTAAATTACGATTAAGACTTACACTTAAATCTTAAGATTTAGGGTGGTTCGAGATTGAATAGCGACACATACATAAAATTTAATGGTTGGAACTGAACAAGGAAGTTATGATTCAATTTACGTAGATTCGTGCGTGTGTGTGTATGTATATCAAGTTTTTGTTGTAACATAAACCTAATTATAAACCTAAAATTAAATATGGAAATTGAACAAGTTCCAATTTATATACAACTAGCTTTCGGCCCGCAGCTTCGCCCGCGTGAAGTTCGGTTATATCGAGTTTCCAATAGAACTTTTCAAAAGTCTGGGATAAAAACTATCCTATGTTCTTTCTCAAGTTGTTCTATCTCTGTACCAAATTTCATTAAAATCAGTTCAGTGGTTTAGGCGTAACATCGTAACAGACAGACAGAGTTACTTTCGCATTTATAATATTAGTAGGGATGTATGCGTGCCCAGGCGTGAGTGTGTGCGTGCGTGCGTGTGTGTCTAAATATATTTAACTCACGAGTGGGCGTATCAAACACGTCAGTGGGATCCTTTAGTATGTATTTCCGGAGGTTGAGATATTGTTCCTTCTGAGCGGCAACTAGAGCGTGTGCCGCTTGGAGCCGCCCTGCCAGCGCAACCAACGACTCGTGCATTCGACGAATACCGAGTGTTAATTCTGAAAACATAGTAATACAGTATATAAAAGATAAAATGCAGTAATGTATGCACACGTTGCTTTGTATGAATCACTAATTTTATGTTATATAACTCTGTATAAATTATTTAACAGAAAATGCAAATATTTACTTTACTATAATCACAGATAATATCGTTTGAACCACTTGTATGTCACTTCTATCGACCTAGCGGCCCTTTTATATGCAATAATCCGTTAACGAGAAAATTCCAAAACATTCTCGTCTACCTTTTTATTTGTTTACAATCATCAACATAAGAAATGTTCTAATAACGTATAGCTAAAAGTTTTGTCCGCTTGTCACGAGGTGGCGCTATCGCTAATGTCGAGACCATACCACCATATTTAAGCACACACAGCACTAAAGTTTCGTAACATATTAAACTGTTGTTTGTTTAGTATTATGTAATGATCGTACCTTGTTCAGTGAGTAGTTTTGGTGATGACTGCATCTGTTTATCAGCGACGTCCATCTGTCGTCTAAACATTATCAATTGTTGTTCCAATTCTGATATGAGTTCGGAAACGTATTGCGGCGGGATAGGCCCCTCCAGGTCAGTACCTACACCAAATAAAACATGCAATTTATTAAGAGTATATATGAAAAATTCACAAATATAATTTGTCATATATAAAAAATGTAGTTTTATTTCATCACAGACAAAACATGCTAATATCGTAACATATGTAAGAAAACATAGTTAAATTGCCATTCATAGGCTAACGTCAAAAAATGTCATCTTCTATACAGGGTGACTGGTGAATTACTATCAATATTTAAGGAGCATACTCGGTACATGATTCTCATTCGAATTATGTAAAAAAAATAGGCGCTTAATTTTTGACAAAATTTCCGTATAAATAAGTAAAGTGTTGACACGTTCCAAGTGTTCAAGTGTGGACGCGTGCGGCGGCGTGCTGATACAACAACACGTCACGACATGCGTATGTGTGAGTGTCAGTGTATACCTAATCTGTAGGGTGTTCACACGATGCGTAATTAATTACATAACTTTTGGTTAACTTTACTTAGAAGTTTATTAATATTTATGTTATATTAATTTTTATTTTGTCATATATGATCGTCAAATATCACGTCCTCAAATATCGATAGTAATTCACCAGTCACCCTGTATATATAAAAATGGATTGCTGTTCCTTAGTCTCGCTAAAACTCGAGAACAGCTGAACGGATTTGTCTTATCTTAGTCTTGAAATGTTCGTGGAGGTTCAGGGAAGGTATAAAAGGTGAGAAAAATTGGAATAATTGCCGGGAAAACCCTAAAAACAGCCCTTTTCTATTTCCCATACAAACGCTTTTTTGACATTAGATTTGACAACTAACTTATATGTCAATCATTCTGTTTGATTGAAACAGGAAAAACCTGATTATGTCCTCTAAGACGGAATAGAGTTCGCCTGGTGATCTATACATATATTACTAATGACGAAACTAACGCGGACGAAGTCGCGGGCAAAAACTAGTACAAAATATATAATTTATACGCACAAACGCTGCACAAACGAAATTTCGTCACATTAACACGCGACCCTAGACTAGTTTGCAATACTTACGTCATACAGTTTTGTACCTTACATGCAGTATTCAATCCATACAGACACACACACACATGCACACTTATACTCAAACCATTACTATGAAATATATAGGTGATACAGCCTAGCTGTGGTGAAATAACTACAGCTCGAAAGTAGGCTGGCTCGACCGAGGAAGTACCACCCTCTCACAGAGATCGGCGTGAAGTAGTCTTTAGAGCCTGCCCAGAAAGCGCGATTTACGCGCGTATGTGATGAGCCGGATTTAGTCATTTATAAAAATAGACTCTGATACTGCGTTTGCTTCACAAAAAAAATCTACTATTCTTCCCTACGCTTAATAGTTCTATTAGAATAATCTGACGATTCCATATCACATATAGCTACCTTTTTCTCAATTTCGTCAGTAAAAAGTACCGTATCAAAGTTTTCACGGGGCATTTTTAAAAAACGAATACGTCCACGCGGACACGCGCGTCGTTCTGGACCCTGCAACGGCGCCGGAGCATCTCGAGTCCCGCTCATTGCAAGCTTTTTACGCGCGAGTAAGGTAACGCGCGAGAGCATCTGGACGGAATGTATGCAGCTCTAGTAACTCGAGAACGCGCGAGTGCCTATACGCGAGTGGACTCGCGCGTAAATCGCGCTTTCTGGACAGGCTCTTAGTGGCTGTGTTTCGTCCAATGAGTGAGAGAGCCAGAAGCCCTTTCCCTTTTTCCCCCTTCGCCTTACTTCTCCCTTTTTCCTAAATAATGGTTGTAACGCATCCACACGCACGCACACATACATACAAACTAGTAGTTGCACTGTCAATCGCCCTCGCACACAAACTCACTCATACTCAAACTTCTTCTACCTGGCAATTTCCCAGCTTTAGCCAGGGTCTGCCTCACATGTTGTGAATAATTTTGACTAATTGTTTTTATGACCGGCTGCCTGCCTGATATCAACCCTTTTTGGGAATGCATTAGTCAGTGGTGTCTAAATACTCTTAGAAAGTACATGATTCAAAAATCACATTGGTACTTGCCCGGGCCAGGAACGAACCCGCGCCCTCGTGTATGAGAGGCGGGCCTTTTAACCACTAGGCCACCACTGACTATCACTCATACTCAAACTATATGTGTGTGTATGTATGTGTATCGTACCGGGCGCGTCCCTAGCGGCGGTCTCAGCAGCAGCGAGTGCCGCAGCAGCCGCCGCTCGCAGCCGCTTGCAGTGAGCCCGCGCCCGCCCGCACTCGCCGCGTAGGGCTGCCACCGCGCGCTGAGTCGTCTCCGCCTCTTGGCTAACCTGGAAGATATATATTGACATTTATTAGGATATATATACAGTAGGACCCCGATTATCCGGATCTCGGTTATCCGAATTCGCGATTATCCGGACTGCCAATCGCGACGAGTTTATTCTAACACTAGCTTTTGCCGCGACTTCGTCCGCGTGGAATAGTGTCTTCCGGTAGATTTTTGGTTCTTCCCACATAGTTCCCGTTCTTGCGGGGTTTTCGGAATGGTCGAGTTCCCGTAGAATTTTCAGGATAAAACCTATATTTTTTTTTTATTTACAATGAAGTACTCTTAACCAACAACATATTTATTTTATTTATTTGAATAAAGATTATTATTATGTTGATACAACTTAAACAAATTATTTCGACCAAATTAGGTACCATAAAAACGGTTTTTTGTGAGTTAATCTTAAAAGATAGACATATACTGTCGCGGACTGTTTTTTAGATCATTAAAAGAGCTGTTATTCTTTAATACATATTTTTTGTGTATCTTGAAACGTTTTCACGGCGCACGCAACGGAAGGCTTCAAAAATGAAATAATTTCTCCCGTTTTTTACACATTTACCACTATATCTTTGCTCCTATTGGTCGTAGCGTGGTTTTATATAGCCCACAGCCTTCCTCGATAACTGGACTATCCAACACAAAAAGAATTATTTCATTCGAACCACTAGTTTCGGATATTAGCGCTTTCAAACAATCAAACTCTTCAGCTTTATAATATTGGTATAGATTAACATGTCAAAACTTGCATAACGCCACGCCACTTATAACACTTATACGTACATTATGTACAATTTCTTAACAAAAGTTGATTTTCGCTCATATGTATTTGTTGTTTTAAATAAACACCTAACATTACATATGTATGGTACAGACAGAGACTACATAATATGTACATATGCAAAAAGCCCGTTTTTCTTCATATATTGGATTATCCGGACTTTCAATTATCCGGATGCCTACCGACAACAATTAGTCCGGATAATCGAGGTCCTACTGTATATACTAGAAGACCCGGCGAACTTCGTATCGCCCTATAATCAAGAAATGTCTGTTAAGTTTTTTTAATTATATTTTTAGAGTTTACCTATTAAAGCCATGAATCTCCGTGTTTTGAGGTGCGACAAAATGATTGACATATTAGTTAGTTGTCAAATCTAATATCAAAAAAAAACGTTTGTATCAACAACTACTAATAAATTAAAAATTAATTAAAAAAACATTGTTAAAAAAACATTGAGACTATCCGTAATCTGTACTAGCGCCTCTATTTGTATTACCTAACAGTCATTGTTATGACTACACTTGCACAGGTGGCTATGCCTGTGACACCTGATAATTTATTTACCCTCAATTATCGATTATTCAAATAATAACTGTTCCGATATATATATTGCTTTAATAAGAAACACACGTCATATTTATATCAAAAAAATTGTGGACACTCTTTAACTATGTACAAATTCATAGAAATCTATTTAAAATTTCACAACTAAAAACTTGTATTTTAGTATTAAGAATTAATAAAACCTTAAAAATAAAAGCATTGCAGATAGTAGTTAAATAAATCTACCAATAATCTCATAAGCTAACCTTATGCAGTGGTTTAATTGAAATTCTCATGATGTCTGAGCTCAATGATTTTTGTTTCTTCACAAACTCTTTAAAAGACTCAACTGTTGTCGATATTTCATTCGGCAACTTCTGTTGCATGGGGGGTTCACCTGGAAATTTAAGTAAATTTTATGTTAATAATGTATGTTTAATGAAATACATTTAAAAATAACAAACTATATGTAGAATAATAGTAATTACTTAATTACTTAACTTAAGAGTAATTTATCATTCAAAATTGCAAATTTAATCTATGTCTTTTTTGATTCAGTATGCAATACAAAAATAATTATGTATAAGGCAAAATAGTATCAGAAACATTATATTTTATTGATATTAAATTTAATTAATTTAAAATATGTCTGTATGTGTGTGCTTACTTTTTCCATCCGTTGTTGTAGTGTTTGTCACTCCTGAGGTAGCTATACCGCCTAAACCAAGGCTCGGGGCTGCTGAAAGTATGAAAAATCATAAAGATTTACGGAATATATGCCCATTCACTTAATTTATGAAATAGCTGATTCTAATTTGATAAAACTTTCATTAACAAATTGCTGATGTGATAGCGAGTGACTCAAATTGCTATTGAATTATAAGATATATGTATATATTTTTTTATTTATAGCAATTATGACAAAAAGTATTACCATTCTGAGCAAATGAAGTCATGGGCGTAGTTAGTTTAATACTTCCAAAAAAACTATTTCTAATAATAATCAAACAATATTCATAGTGATATTCGTTTATAGTAATTTTTAAAAGGTCTGTTATGTAATAACTAATAAGGATGCAGTATTCCATATATAAAAGTAACATTTACATACATACACATATATATATACTAGTTTTTGCCCGCGACTTCGTCCGCGTTAGTTTCGTCATTAGTAATATATGTATAGCTGACCGGGCGAACTCTATTCCGTTTTAGAGGCCATTAATCGCCATCGCTAGTGCCTTGAAAATTCGCAAAACGGACACAACCGTCAACGACGTCTGCCCTCACGTGTCTGGCCGCGTTCGGGTCCCGCACTCAGCGATGAGCCACTTCTTCCCCACCGCACCTACCCCGCTCCCCCCACGCCCCGTTCGCCTGGCACCGCTGTCGGTATTTATCACCGAAACGGTATTTATCGCCGAAATTGCTATGACTCTGCATTTTAAATCTGTGATATCTTCGAAAATATTTATTTAATTTACATGCTGTAAAAAGCCATATTGATCTTTATTAAATGCACAATGTATTTAAGATACTTAATTGGATAAGGATTAATACTGTATTGCTTAAAATCGCTTCGTAAATAAGCCATTATTTCTCGTACAAAGTAAAGGATAAAAAATGGTTATTGTGGGTTATTCCTAAGAGATAAACATATACCATCACAGACTCTTTTGTAGACCTTTTTAAGTTGTACAATACTGTAGTACATTGTTTTGATCTATTTTGTAGGATTCAGTCAGCGTTTGCAATGTAAGCGAAAAAAATGTGTTTTTTTTACGACCTCACATTAGAAACCTCAAAAATTGTAGCCTACGTGTTATTCTGATGTATAAGCTATAGCCTATCTGTTATGCTGATGTATAAGCTATATTGTGGTAAAGTTTCATTCAAATCCATTCAGTAGTTTTTACGTGAAAGAGTAACAAACATCCATACACCCATACTTACAAACTTTCGCCTTTATAATAGTAGCAGGATGTGTATGTATATACATTTTTTGTTATCACTAAATCCCTTAAACCTATCTGTTATTCTCAAAGCACCCACCACCATTAATGAAGTGACAAAATGTTATGATAATGTTAAACATTAATTAAAATGGTATTAATTAGCAAATTATTTCCCAAATTATCTGTATTTTTGTAACTTGATATAATATCTATATATACCTGATGTAGACGGTTGAGTGCCAGTTACATTTATTGTTCCTAATTGATTCCCTGTAATTTTTATCATCAAATAATATTCAGAATTTCATACAAAGTGAATAATATTTTCATTTGATATGACAAATTTTGTAAGGCTCTAAATACTTTTGATTACTGAAATATTTTTTACATTTTTGTTTTTGATTTGACTATTATTTTCTTCAATTTATAATATGACATATTTCTATATAATCTTTATAAATAAATAATTATAAAATCTCTAGAAATTTGAATTATTACAGTATAAAATGTATGATTGTTAGATCCAAAAGACTTTTTAATTTTAAAAAATACAAATAATTAATCTACAACATAGTCTGTGTAAGGAAGTATAACTATATCAGTTTGATATTACTTATCTATTCTTATTTTCACTTAACCCAAATTTACTTTCAAATCTTGCTATAAATTTAGCAACTATAAATGTACATATATATTTTAATATTATGTATATATTTTTAATAATAAAAACAGTAGTAAAACTCACCAAAAGCACTAGTAGTGGTAGTAGCTGTTGCACCGAGCGACCAGTTTGATGTTGTTGTACCAAAACCAAACCCGCCTAAACCTCCCAAGCCTGCACTCGTTGTGGTCGTACCAAATGACAATCCTGAAATGAAAGAAAATATTTTTTATATATAAATATAATGCTTTTCCAATTTTATCTCAACTAGCTGCGTCCCGCGGTGTTAGCCGCGGATTTCCAGAATTTCCGAGATTCCTGGGATTTAAAGTAGCCCATGTGTTATTCCTGGACATCAGCTTCCTGTATACAAAATTTTATCAAAATCGGTTCAGCCGTTTGAGCGTGAAGAAGTAACAAACATAAACACACTCACAAACTTTCGCAATTATAATATTAGTAGGATGTATAAGATATAGCTGTAGCCCTCTCTCCCTTTTTATTAATCGTCTCTCAGTTATTTTTGTTTCATTATTAATTTTGCCAATATCATACCACGGGGTAGAATTTTTAATCCTTTAACTCTTATGTAAATCGAAAATTTAATCATTATAAAATTATATAAGCAATTCTCAAAGAAAGTTTTAAAAACATATCATTTATGTTATATTTTCTTATGACTTTTAAAAGTAATTATAAGTTTTACACTAAAAACCAAATCACTGTACTCATATATATCTTGGAGCAGTGGTGTGCACAGATATTTGGGGTAGCGTAAGCAGAATATGTTTGAAAAATAAAATACCAATTTTCATAATTTCCTCCTCTAAAACATTGATAATAATGACATCTTTCGCAAGTATTAATTTAAATTTTAAATGAACTAATATTTTTATCTTTTTTAACGGACAGACGAGATGTCTGCCGTAGTCACGGTTGCTGCAAAGTAATCGAAACGCCAGGATTATGTAGTTTTTAAACATAATAAAATACGAGTAATCAGAAAATATTAATTTCATTCACATCGAACATCTATATACTTTATGAATATCTCAACAGCTCACAGCTTTATAAAAGTTTATTAAATAGGAATATCCTGTGGAGATTCAAACATTCTTAATATTATCATTTGAAAACTATAAACAAGGCAAACAAAATAACTTATTTTTGTGTACACAGCCCGCTGACTAATTAAAACAATCATAATACTTTTTATTAAAACGAATAACATTACCTTTATTTTATTTCAATCTCAACTGGTCACGCACCTTGACTTAATACTTATTTTTTTTATTCTATTATCAAACGACATATTGAAAATCTACTCGTAACTAATTTCAATAATCACATCAAGCACAAAGCTCACAGCTATAATTTTACATAGTTCGTTAATAAATTAATCCACTGTTTACTAATTAAAACTTATTCATTCACGCTTAGAAAGACAAATGACAATATACAATAATAATAAATTGGCGAAAAAATATATAAACAGTTTACCGACCAATCAGAGAGTCCCGTTTCAATTAACGGACAATTAACGGACTTTCTACGACATTTTAACAATACAAAATAATGTGATTCTCGAACACTATGCAAGCTTTGTTTTACACACACACATACAATCATTTCCTGCATACATACAGGAGATTTGTAGATCGTCCATGAGAATTTTTGTATGGAAAATATCAAAATAAGCACATTGTGTACATAAATGAAAATAAGCATATGGTCGTACATTTCACCGCTCTGGCTGCATAGCGGCGCTAGCAGTTAGCAGCGGCCGATCGAAAATTTGTCGTTTTTACATTGATAAATAAGTGCCTTATTAACATATCATGAATCAAATGTAACTTTAAATGTTTGTTAACATTTGTATTTCGTATTGTATGAATAAAACTATGTAAGTAAGAATTAAAATAAATAAAGCTTTATAATAAAATACCTTCTTGTATAAGGAAGATGTATTCATAAAATTTATATGTTTAAGTTAGTAATGTTCTCATATAAATGACTATGTATTGTCTTGTTGAGAATAAAGATCTTTAAACCTACTAAAATAAATTTTGTTGTTATATGGGTACTGTATGCAGTTCTTATTGCATATATGGTGTGCACGCCACCATCTTGGAGATTATTTCTCAATTTAACAATAATAATTAATCAGCTGTGTATTAAATTGTTAAGAATTTTATTATCTTTTAGGAAAATGTTTATGTATATTTAAACATATGTATATTGATTGTTATTTAGAAAATTTGACCAATTTAATTTACATATATCATAATATGGGATTAATAAATATTTTTTTAATTTCAATTCATTTAAAACAGATACCTTTTGCGGCTGTTGAAGTTGTCCCCGTTCCAAAGTTAAGACCTCCAGATCCAAAAGCTGGTGTCGTTGAACCTATGGAGGAAACAAAACAAGATAAAGTCTTAGTTCTGCATTTTATGTACAAAGCAGTGGAATACAAATTGTGAATGTGTTAATAAATTTTTTATTATACAGTGCAAACTCGATTAACAAATCGGAGGGGAACAGGAAAATATTTGTAATATCAAGTAATTCGTTTAACTGAGGTTTGTTATGTTGAGGTTAGATTGGACTAAAATTCGTTATAATAAGGTAAAATAATATGTAAATAGTTTTATTTACCTCAACATAACGATTTTGGTCAACATAATTAATGATGTTTCGTTTTTCTGCGACTGATAAGGAACACCTTTTACGCTTCTGAGCTATTTTAAATTAAAACTTTAACAATAGTAACGAGCAGAAGTGTTTACATGATTTTTCATCAAACAACAACGATTACTTTATGAACAAAAGCATGTCGAAACATATCGAGACATGAATTACAATAAAAGATTAAGAGTTATATTATTGGTGGGAACTTTATATAAAGGTTTTGGATTGACAAAATTCATTAATTAGAGGTATGAATACTTTTTCTTGATAGTTGAAAATTTGTTATAAAGAGGTTATTCGAAAAGAATGTTCGCAATGTAAAGGTATATATTATATTGACTCGTATGGACTATTATGGTAGTATGGAATTTGTTATATTGAAGTATATTATATTAAGGTTGCACAGTTATCTTCTATTACAAATTAACTAACCAAATGAAGAAGTTGTAGCACCAAATGCTGGAGCAGCGGTGGTCACTCCGAATGAAAGTGAAGTCGTTGCACCAAAAGCGGGTGCACTAGTTGCAGCACCAAAAGCGGGTGCGCTGGTTGCAGCACCAAAACTGGTGTTAGCACCAAAAGCAGGGGTTGCAGCACCAAATGCGGGGGTTGCAGCCCCAAAAGCAGGGGTTGCTCCAAATGCTGGAGTGGTTCCAGTTGCAGTTCCAAAGGCCGGTGCAGATGTCGCTGGGGTACCGAATAAACCCGTCGATTGTGTAGTTGCTGTTAGCCCAAAACCCGGGGTAGCTGGCCTGGAATAGATTTAATTACATTATATTTATAATTTTAAATAATAGCCGATATTCATTAGGAATTTTAAATTAAATTTGTTCGACTGTCAAAAATGTATGATTTTTAATTTTGACAACAAGTAACAAGTTTGAGGTTATAAATGGAGATAAGTGTTTTAAATTTCAATAAAACACTGCATATATTGTAAAGTGCAAAATATACTTTCAGTATGATACATTTTGGTATGTAAACTATATCAATTAATTTAAAAAAAAACTTACTTGTTAGCGCCAAAACTAAAACCCCCGGTAAGACCTGTTGTCGCTGGGGCGCTTGACGGTGTTCCAAACGAGAAAGACATTTTTAGGTATCACATAAATACTATTTTACACATAAAACTGATATTATGTTTTTGTCAAAGTAATATGTTTTATATTTTTTAAAACATTCACAAGGTACGTTAACTGCTTTCAAGAATGACTGACGTTATAAGTGTGACAAGGACAAACTATCATGAAACAGCAGTGTGACAAAGATACTATGAATACTTAGAAACGTTTTGTTAATGCTCCTCCAGATTGATGCGTTCATTAAAGACTCGTTTTATAATTTATATTAAAAACATTAAAAATAATATTGGTTTGTATGTCAAAATAAATGTCACAATTCAAAAATATTATACGGATCAAATTGAACAACTTTAACTGAAGATATTAGATCGCAGAATGAATTATTTAGTGAATGCTGGTAGTCTAAGACATTCTTACCAAATAATTTATAAAACAACACCAGTTGCAATAAATATATCAAGTACAATGCGATTTTATCCACCAATGCCACCATCAAACATTCAAGAAGACAGCAAATTGGTAGAAGATCAATATAAAAAATTATTAACAGGTAAAATTCGGCTACGATGCGGCTTTTCAGACCCAAGTCAAATATTTAATTTGTGTTTGTACTGATATTATCTAGTTGAATTTATTTAAACTGCACTATGATAATAAAATAAAAGATATAGGGTTTATTTCGTTTTGTTTTTTTCCCCAAAATAAATAAAAAAAGAACATTATTCCTTATCAAAAAACTCACTATTTTGTTTTACGGAGGAAGCTTGAATTATATAATCAACATGCCCTGAAAAATTATACAGAATGAAAATTTCTTTTAAGCAAGACTTTTTACTAAAAATGAAATAAAGAAAAAATATACACGTATATTGTGTTTATTATAAATAATCATTAAAAATATAGGTATTCGTTTATCATTTGTGTATGCTTTAGTTTTATGACTTTAGCCTTTAGAGTCAATTCTAAGAGAAAGTGGTTGTCACTTAGTTTTGAGCTCAATTCATAGATGGCGTAAAAACGAATTATATAAGAAATTAATTAACGGTATGGTTTTATAATCGACAGAAAGTGTCCCTATGTTCCCCACAAAAAATATAGAAACAATATATTTTTTAATCTCATTAAAAAGAAAATTATTATGAGACGAAACCTCTCAGCATTCAATGTATTCACCCTGCGGGTGCCCGGACCATCGCGTTGCACTGAGAAGAGCTTCAACAGTACCTGGGACTTGCGACCCAGGTGTCGGTTTAAGGGACCCCTATCTAACGCGTTAAACAGTCACCTCTATTGATCAAGTTCCTCTCTGTACCTAACCAAATTTGTAAAGAACCTAATACCCCTGTCTTCGAAATTAATAATTAGAAAAGAAATGTAAAGTAAAAAATATAAAATTTAGTTAGTATGGGAATATCAGCCTACTTTTCCTGTTTTACCCCCTTCTTCTTTTTCTTGCATATAACCCCTATTTACCCCCATATACATATCAATTATCATACATAGGACATTATAAATAATCTGCTTGTAGGCCGTGACAAAATATAATTTAATTAGGCCAATGAAACAATTTAAAAACTAGTAAGTACGTAAATAAGCAATTTGTCGTACTCTTGAGGTACATTTGTCTTGTAAAGTGTACCAAATAAATAGGAACATCAATATGAAACAAAACACTTTGTGTAAAAAGATGTGTTTCATTTAGTAGACATTATAACAAAAGTTCTTGAGAACTTATTTGTTTTATCAGTGTGAAAGTTTGTGAAGGATCTTGTGTCGACGTCAAAGACGTTTTGACTGCCTATTACTCTAAACTTGAACCTTTTGTGAATTCACAAATGATATCTCAAATGTATTTATTGGCATTATGTTTTAAATAAATTCATTGAATTTCGATTTACGATCCATTACAACTATCCAAAGTACACAGAAAGGGGACGCAAGTTTAATTGACTTCCGAGATTTTTAATTAGAAACTTAATAAAAGATACACCGAAGAAACAGGAGACGGGGTTCTGAAACGATATTACAATTCTTAGGGGTTTTTACAAACCAAGATACTACTACGATCTACTTGAAACATTAGAATTTCATTTCGGCTTTGGATCAAATTTGGCACAGATTATAATATGATTAAAAATACAGATAAGACAAAATATTCTTATAAACAAAAATAAATTTTTCACAAATACATTTTTCAAAAATAAATTAGCTGATGAAGAACTATATAAGAAGTGTGAATAAGAATAATTTCCGACATTTTAAAATATCGCCATTTTGAAATTATCATTGTTTTAGGATAAAATTTTCGTCTTTTATTTAATATTTTACCCAACTTCACAACATCCGTGATCACAGGAAGATGAGACGAAAGTGTCTGTCAGTTAGTCTTAAATTATAATGGGTAAAAGTGACGTTGATTGTAGGAAGTGGAATCTTCTGTTTGGGCTTTTGGAAATGTGTTCAGAGTATGGCTTCTTAAATAACTTTATCTATGTATCTATATCTAATCTGACACGGAATATAGTAAAGCAATAGATATACCTACTGTGTTGGTTTAAACTTTGTATTTAGGGTTTGTGAATTAACTGAAATTAAGAAGAAAAATTTAGAAGTAGTGATAGGGGAAAAGAATTTATTGTGGACAAATTAACGCTTTGCCAAAATGCTCTTGAAGACATAAGATGATTTAATTAATAGTAATCCTAGCAAGAATTTTGAACAGTTATCTCAGCTCCTTAGCTCCTAGACTTCTTGTAACAATTTTGCTGTTTTAGATTATCTTGTTAATTTATATTTGTGTGCAAGGGAGGGAGTGAGACTCCGTGTCATCTTTAATGGTTCCTAGAATAAATATTTAATTTATATATTGTAAATCTTTGGAATTTTCAGTCACTAGTTGCTACATGACAAGCTGAAAGGAATCCTGAATCCTGATGCAAGCTGCCAAATAATCTGCCATAATGTGCTAAAATTAATGGTGATCAGAATTTCGGACTTTTTTTAGCACAAAAGTGGCAAACGAGCAGACGGTCTACCTCATGGAGGTAGTACTTCGCCCTTGAACATCCGCAACAAAGAAAATTAAAATAAAGTATACAAAACTTATATGAAAGCCGAGTCAGGGTATCTTTAGAAATAATATTATATTATTTCAGCACTGACCACTAAAAAGAAATAGACGCTACAAAAATTAACACATAAAACATTTAATTTCGCTCCAAAATTTATGGTTTTTGATCAGAAAAACAGTACAAATCTTCTATAAATACAGTCCGAGTATATAGAACACAGTATAATGGAAGCGGTTTGAACCAAGAAAAAATTGTTACAGAAGAAAACTGCAAAAACATTTTATGAACTAGATATAAAGATATATAATTTATTAAGAAAACTAAATAATTTTGATAACCCTGTTAAGTTAAGGGCCTACTATACATTTGTTTTTAACCATTTGTTTTATATTATTGAAAATTAACTAAATCTGAATAGTATGAGGTAAACGATATTCATCTCATTAGTCTCGTAACGATATATCGTGAGTGTAAAGTTCCGTGATATTTCATCACGAGGCGTCGAGTTTTAACAAAGTTTCTGTTTGTTTATCTTCTGTCTGTCTGCAATTTTTTTTTCTATATTTTTCTTTAAGCTTAGTTTTGATTAAGAAAAGGAGTTTGTCTGTGTTTCGCTGAAATATTTTATTATTTGCGTGTTTTTGAAAGAAATGCATTTCCTTAACAAGCATCGTAGCTGAGAATTCTTTGGATGACCAAAAATGTTTTCTAAGCTTATAAGACTCGAAATTTTTTTCTTTTTAAAGTATCCTCTTGTCGTGTAATTTATTATATTATATAATTATTATTTTTAAGAAACATATAAATTCTATGCTACTGTTATCTACTGCCGCTAGTATTGATAATTACTTTGTTCCCCATAATATAGTAACCATCATTATATTATTTAAATTTCTATTATTTGTAAACTTAAAGTAAATGCTAGAGAAAAAGAACATCTTTAATATGTCAAATATATACGAGTAAGAAAAGAAAACTAAATGAATAACACTTTTTTCTTTATATATAAATAATATTATATGTTATTAATATAATCTGTCTGCATTATTTAATACCAAACTATATATTAATCCCAGCATCCCCGCCGTGAAATCAGTAAACCCAATTAAATCTAACCTTTGCTTAACACATCGTTTCCTATGTATAACAATATATATTATGCAGTTTTATTGTCTATATTATAAGTGAATAAGGTATATAATCGCTTGTCTGTGTTATGGTGTAAGATTGCTCAACCACCCTTTGTTGTCTGCCGACGAGACTAGGGTGCATTTGTTTTATTTGAGCGGCACCACGTCTACTGCGATCGATGGTATGCATTTATGGAATTTTTGGTCCAAAGTACATAAGTTTCAAACAGAATTTAAGTACTTGCTTTATAATGATTATAATTTGTTCATAGACAATAATGAGATTTAGATCTCATTATAGTCTTGGGAATTTCGATTATTTTATTATATTTTTAAGACAAGTATGTTAGTTTATTTTTAAGACAAGTATAATATTTGTTTTTTAAATTAAATCGTCGTTTACTTAATGCAGTATTAGATAAGTCGGATTCATTATAAAACTATACTTTGAAAATATAAAGGAATAAATTTTCAGTAGTTTTTATTTAAGAATTTCAATAGTATGATTTACTTTTTGGCATTTTTGTGGAAAATATAATTCATTTTCATAAAAATTATTTGCCAGCGATACTCAGACTTTAACAAAGTTAATGTCTTTCGTAATTTTCTATTTAATAAATTATACATTTCTTAATATTCTATGTAAATTATATTATTGAAGAGTTTTATCCAATATAACAAATGCGTTTTTGAATACCACAATCGTGAATTTCATACAAGTTCGACAACTCCGAAGTTACTTCAATTGCTTTGTTTACTTTTTTTGTATATAATTTTATTTTGTTTACTATAATATTAATTTTATCAATA